CCTCGTCTATTCTAATGTGGGCAGGATGGGAACTGATTATGGAAGCAGTGTGGCTATTTTTGAAGGGACGTCTTCTCTCCCCCCCCACCCCTTTCCACACTGTCGAGCAGGCAACACAAATTAGTTTCTCGTTATACTTGGAAAATGGAGTTACGGAAGACAATGAAGAAAAAAAACAAGGGGTGGATGGGATATAATGCGAGAGCATGGAGGGTTTATTTTACCATCATGACATGAAGGAACAGCTCTCCTCTCCTCTGTTCCTCCCCCTCTTATCTCCGGGGAAAGGAGGAGAGAAAGAGTCCTCTCCTGTCTCTCTCCCTGCCTCTTCTTCCTGAGAAGGGGAGGAAGACTCCTGCCTCTCTCCTCTCCTGTCCTCTTGTCCTCTCCTGTCGCGTATTCCTCTCCTTCTATCGCTCTTTCTTCTCTCTCACTCCTCCACCCCCCTGCTCGGGACCACGTCCTCTCACTCTCCTCTCTACGTCGACCACTCACCGCCTACTCTCGGCCCGTCTCTCCGTCGGGAGGACTCTCGCGATCCCTCTCTACTCTCCGCTCTCTCTCTTACTCGGCCTCTCTATCTCCTCTCTTCCTTCTTTCCTTACTCTCCTCTTTACTCTCTTCCTCCTCTCTTACCCCTCCTTACTCTCCTCTCTCCTCTCTTACTCTCCTCTCCTCTCTCTCCCTCCTCTACTCTCCCTCTTCCTCTTCCTCTCTCTCCTTCCTCTCTCTCTCTCCTCTCCTCTCTCTTTTTATTCCTCCTCTCTGAAATGGCTCATTAACTCTGTTTTACTCTTTGGTGGTTTGACAGCTTTCCTTTTTTTGGGGGGGGGGGGGGGGGGGGGGGGGGGGCTAGTGTGTCCATTAATTTGTTTACATAAAGGTGGGTGCGTGCGTGTGCCCGCATGTGTGTATGTGTGACCACCCTCCCCTCACCATCCTCTTCTGCCATCCCCTAGCTGGCCTGGACATGGACCCCATCCCTGATGATCCCACTGGGCCCTGTCAGGGCTCAGCAGGCCGGGGGTCCAGGTCTCTACAGGAGGAGCCTCTGGACGTCATCCTGAGCCCAGAACTGGACAAGATGGTCGCAGATGGTATGGCGGCCTTGTTGAATTCTGACTGTCTACCAGATGTGCTGCACACCAAAGATCTGTATATAATGACTAGATTATCATATCTCCACCCTAACAATGGGAGTGGTTGTCCCTAAGGCAGGAAGGCAGGCGACAAGCTTAGGTCCAAAATAAGCCCATAGAAACGCATTGTGCTTATGTTGGACAGATTTTGGCGAGAGTAAAACCTCTGGCTTCGCCTCTTCCTTTGTGCACACTGTGTCATGGGTGAAGAGCAGAGGTGTACATCCCCAGTCCTCCAGGGCCTCAGTGTCTGTTTTCTCTAACTGATCTATTTGACGAATGATAGGCCAGAGAGTCACACACTACCTGGTTTCCCAGGTCGACATCAGTACATAGATTCAGGGTCGGTTTCCGAGACACAGTTTAAGTCTAAAAAGCATTCTCAATGTGCTTTTTAGTCCAGGACTAAGCTAGAACCTGGTTCAAGCATTCATGACATTACCCTGAAGAAGGCACAGTGATGCCGAAACGTTGGTGGTTTGTTACCCAATAAATTACTGTGAGTTTATACATAGAGTGTGCAACTCTCTTTGTTTGTTTTTATAGCTTACAGTTTATTCTCCGTTGGTCAGCACCTCTACACTAAGTGATGTTCTCTGGGTGTGCGCCAGCTCATGCTTTTTATGGGAAACTGCCCCTAAAAGTCAATCATGATAAATAAGTATTTCTTCCTGGGGTTGCGTGCCTCTTGTTGAGTGTGGTCTTTAGAGTATCCACCACGTGGAACAACTGCTGTGTATAGAAGGCATGATGGTCAAATCACATCCCACATTGCAAAATCATGGAACACTAAGTAAATAATGTTTGCTCAGTTTAACTGACTTTCCCGCAAAGTAACAGTGTTGACAAATAGGGACCTTATTCCCTTGGCAGAGATTTAACCCGCCCGACTTGTTCACTGTGTTATAACTGCTTAGCGTCTTCCTGGCTCTGTCAAAAGCAATGTCTGGCCTTACACGTTGATGCATAACCGAAGCCATGCTGGTTTTAGTTGAGGTTGATGTGCATTCCTTAGACCTGCAATTACACTACACCCCCTCTGATGAAATTCTATGTTTGATCCCCAGGATTTGTTCTTAACTGGCTTGCTTGGTTCCATCAAACTAGCACTGTGGATAAAGTGTATAACACTGCAGCAATGTAATATGCATTTCTTTGTTTCTTTCAGGTGCAATTCTCAATAAGCTCTACAAAATTCCAGGTTTGTGGTTTTGATTCTATTCACATTTTCAGGCTCATTGAAGCCTAACCTAGAGAGTTTTCAGAAGGTTGTTCATTCATTTGTATGCCAGAGATGATCAGTTCCATAGAATTCAAAGATAACCGTTTGAAAGGTTCAATCACCATTTGTTGATGGTGGTTTAAAGTATGTGCATCAACGCTATCTATTTAATTGCTGTCACCCTCTACAGAGCTGGAGGGGAAAGACGTGGAGGACCTCTTTACAGCGGTCCTGAGTCCCAGCACCAGCCAGCCTCCACAGCTGCCTCACTCCCAACCGGCCCACCCTGGGCCCAATGGACCAAGAGCTATGGGCCTTCCAAACCCAGGTACCACCACCACCACCTCAAGTCTCTTGGAGAATTGCATTTGGTTGCTGGCAATTTAAATATAATCTACTATTGACTGTGGAAATCAATCTATATGAATGAATGGATATGAGCATTGATTTATACAGTGGGGAAAAAAAGTATTTAGTCAGCCACCAATTGTGCAAGTTCTCCCACTTAAAAAGATGAGAGAGGCCTGTAATTTTCATCATAGGTACACGTCAACTATGACAGACAAAATGAGAAAAAATAATCCAGAAAATCACATTGTAGGATTTTTTATGAATTTATTGGCAAATGATGGTGGAAAATAAGTATTTGGTCAGTAACAAAAGTTTCTCAATACTTTGTTATATACCCTTTGTTGGCAATGACACAGGTCAAACGTTTTCTGTAAGTCTTCACAAGGTTTTCACACACTGTTTCTGGTATTTTGGCCCATTCCTCCATGCAGATCTCCTCTAGAGCAGTGATGTTTTGAGGCTGTCGCTGGGCAACACGGACTTTCAACTCCCTCCAAAGATTTTCTATGGGGTTGAGATCTGGAGACTGGCTAGGCCACTCCAGGACCTTGAAATGCTTCTTACGAAGCCACTCCTTCGTTGCCCGGGCGGTGTGTTTGGGATCATTGTCATGCTGAAAGACTCAGCCACGTTTCATCTTCAATGCCCTTGCTGATGGAATGAGGTTTTCACTCAAAATCTCACGATACATGGCCCCATTCATTCTTTCCTTTACACGGATCAGTCGTCCTGGTCCCTTTGCAGAAAAACAGCCCCAAAGCATGATGTTTCCACCCCCATGCTTCACAGTAGGTATGGTGTTATTTGGATGCAACTCAGCATTCTTTGTCCTCCAAACATGACGAGTTGAGTTTTTACCAAAAAGTTATATTTTGGTTTCATCTGACCATATGACATTCTCCCAATCCTCTTCTGGATCATCCAAATGCACTTCAGACAGGCCTGGACATGTACTGGCTTAAGCAGGGGGACACGTCTTGCACTGCAGGATTTGAGTCCCTGGCGGCGTAGTGTGTTACTGATGGTAGGCTTTGTTACTTTGGTCCCAGCTCTCTGCAGGTCATTCACTAGGTCCCCCCGTGTGGTTCTGGGATTTTTGCTCACCATTCTTGTGATCATTTTGACCCCACGGGGTGAGATTTTGCGTGGAGCCCCAGATCGAGGGAGATTATCAGTGGTCTTGTATGTCTTCCATTTCCTAATAATTGCTCCCACAGTTGATTTCTTCAAACCAAGCTGCTTACCTATTGCAGATTCAGTCTTCCCAGCCTGGTGCAGGTCTACAATTTTGTTTCTGGTGTCCTTTGACAGCTCTTTGGTCTTGGCCATAGTGGAGTTTGGAGTGTGACTGTTTGAAGTTGTGGACAGGTGTATTTTATACTGATAACAAGTTCAAACAGGTGCCATTAATACAGGTAACGAGTGGAGGACAGAGGAGCCTCTTAAAGAAGAAGTTACAGGTCTGTGAGAGCCAGAAATCTTGCTTGTTTGTAGGTGACCAAATACTTATTTTCCACCATAATTTGCAAATAAATTCATTAAAAATCCTACGATGTGATTTTCTAGATTTTTTTTCCTCAATTTGTCTGTCATAGTTGACGTGTACCTATGATGAAAATTACAGGCATCTCTCATCTTTTTAAGTGGGAGAACTTGCACAATTGGTGGCTGACTAAATACTTTTTTCCCCCACTGTATGTATATCATGTTCACATAATCAACAGGACATGTGGATGTATTTATGGAACTACTTCTCCGACATCATCTCTATGCTCTCTGTTGCAGTCGACCATGGGATGTTTCCCCGCATGCCAATGATGAACGGCATGATGGGGCCCAACCCCCACTTTCCTCCAACTCCCATGATGCCCGGCAGCACAGGCCCCTGTGGCCTGGGAAACTTCTCGCCCATTCACAGAATGCCTTTCCCAGACAAGATGAGGTAAGAGCAGGTACAGCAGGAAGCTGTTGACGCATTACTAGAGCATTGCTTTCATCTGTTGGAAGACAATCAATTGGATTATGTGTTTTTAACTTGCCTAGTGATTCATTTTTTATTATGTTTTCCTTTATTGTTTTGACTCCATTGTATATAGTTCGCTTTAACCAAATTTTTCCTCTGAGGTTTGCTCGCTTGTTAGCTTTCATATCTCAATCAATGAATGTAATGTCTTTTTTATACTATAGCCCTTTTTACATGAACATTTGCCTCAAAAGTGAACCGCAGTGTAAGAGATGTGATACAAATCAATATATAACTGCAAATATATTGGCAATGTGCCAATAGAATGTGTAACCTGAGATATCCTTCCAGGGACAAGAAGTTTAGCCAGATGGGGGGTGATGTGGTTGGTTCGTGGAGCGCCCCCAGCTCTGTCCCCGGCCCTGTCCCCCCTCCGGAGGGCGAGACAGATACTATGTCCAACGCCCAGAGGAGCACGCTCAAGTGGGAGAAGGAGGAGACTCTGGGCGAGATGGCCACCGTGGCCCCAGTCCTGTACACCAACGTCAACTTCCCCAACCTCCTAGAGGAGTTCCCAGGTTGGTACATCATACACAAAGTTTCTCAAATGAAAATGAGATGATTTTTGGTTCCGTCAAATTCAAAAGTTTGAATTACCTACTACATTTTTTCGAATGAAATAATTATGAGCTCTGAAGTTCTGTGACAAACACTTAAAAAGGGGACTGGGAAAGGTATTGTACTTGGCCGTATTGCATGTGTGTTCTAGCGCTACACGTTTTAGTGACTAATCTTTTTGCTTTCTCAGACTGGGCTATGAGAGTGAAACAAATCGCAAAGTTATGGAGGAAAGCCAGTTCCCAGGACAGGGCCCCATATGTGGTAAGTACTTTACATCCATGCTGGACTGTGATGCCCTGCACTTATTTTGATCAGCAGGTTTTGCTGATTGACTGACAAAAGATAAGAGAAGTTTGTATAAACAAAAGAAAAAATACATGCATTGAAGAAAAAATAGCAAATATTTTACAAAACACTTAAAACCTCCAACGAAAACTTAGAGCGCTATTCAATAAAACATGTATTATTTCTACTTCACCAGAAGAACATTGTTGTTTGACTGATTCCACAAACCTGATTGCGGCTTTTGATTAAATGGGGCCCTATACCTTTTGAAGTGATGAATCAAAGGAAATCAGCCTGAACAAACTTGCTGAAGTAAATTGTAGAGGCCATTATGGAGAAGCTCGATATTTGTGCTTGTCTTGTTCTTTTAATCTGTTTTCTGTTTATATTTTAAACCCAAAGGCTCTCGCGCTTTGTCCCTTCTCGTGTCTTTGTTCTGTTTGAATGTTGTGTCTAGTACATTTTCCAAATTAACAGATAGTTCTTTGAGGATTTTTCAGGACATTCAGAAAAATGGTGGAGCCTTTATTTGTTCTAGTAGGGTTTTAAGAAGTTAGCAGCTCAGGAAATGTATATGTCTTGCACCATCAATTACAAAATGGACTGTCTCTTCCAATCCCCTATCTTCCAGCAAAAAGCACGGGATAACCGGGCGGCCCTGCGCATAAACAAAGTTCAGATGTCAAATGATACGCTGAAGAGACACCAGCATCCTCAGCAGCAGCCGCTGTTGACTGACACCTTTGACCCCAATAGTGTCCCCTTGGACACTGAGCTGCTCTTCAAAGACTCTCTCAAGCCCAAGGAGTCTGAGCACGAGCAGGAGTGGAAGTTCAGACAGGTAAGAGTTCCTTTGGAGGGTTAACAAGGTGCTGGGAATGGAGGGAGGGGGAATATAAAGCATTGGCACACTGTAAAGCAGGGTTTCTCAACAACTATTCTAGGAGTTGTTGAGGATTCGTTTGGCCTTAATTTTTAAATGTTACAATGTGTTTTGTTTAAACTGAGTCTGAGGGTACGAGATTGGATGCAGGATTGTGGGGCAATTGCATGCATGCCTTTAAAATAAGAAATGTTTGTTTAGTGGCTGCCTTGGCAGGTCTTCAGGAAGCCAAATGGTATAAGTGGGATTTTGTTCCTGCATGTTGAGAAACCCTGGTGTGAGAGAGCAGTGTGCACTTTTTTGTGTGTACATGTATTTTATGACACCATAATACACCACCATAATAATCAAGTACCGCATGTCAGGGGAATTGTGAGTAGGAGCAAGGTGGTGAGATTGAACATAACATAACCTGGGGGCATGAAACAGATTTTTTATTTAACTTTATATATGTGCATGGTTGAGTGAGTCATTTTTAAACAATACATTTGGCGTTCTCATACAGTCTACTAATTCTTAATTTGCATTGAAAAGGGAGAGTTAAATCAGATGTGGGGACCCCTTAAGAAGCAGCAGGAAAAGGTCCCAAAAAGCAAAGCCATAAAATCAACAAATAAAGACGTCCTTTTTGGACATTCCAACCAGGCAACTATAGCTGCAGGAGGTGGAAAAATTTCTCTGGTAAGATTCCCAAGGCGAAGCACTGTTCTGGTATTCGTCTGCCGAGAACCAATAAAGCAAAATTTACAAGGTGTAAGAAAAGCTAACTGTAAAGTGGAGTTGTAGGGAGAAAAGCTTGGTTAACTGGTAAAATCTGTCCTTGGCCCTGAAAAAACACAGTAACAGCCTCCAGAAGCTTTATTTCATCACCATATTATTACATACACCTTCACATTGTTCCCTCTTGCATGGCTTAACAACACACGCTAGACCCACTCATATTGAAAAAGCATTAAAACTTTGTTGTGAGTGAGGGAAAGAAAGCATTCTTAGCACCATGTCATCATAAAATTACAAATTCAACGCTTCCAAAAAGGCTTAATTAACTGAAGTGTCTCTCCTCCCCTGCTTTTCTTGTTTCCATGGCAGCAAATGAGACAAAAGAGCAAGCAGCAGGCGAAGATCGAAGCCACTCAAAAGCTGGAGCAGGTTAAAAATGAGCAGCAACAGCTCCAGCAACAACAACAACAACAGCTGTTTAGCAGTCAGTCAGGTGGAGATACAACCCCTAATAGTGGTAACCAGAGCCCCATGACTCCTCAGCCCAGCAATGGAGGAAAGTCTGGAAACTCGTCCCCACTGCAGCCAATAGCATCTAAGGATGGCTTCGCTAGACCCCAACTCCCGGGCACACCCACCTCTGGGTCACAGGATGACGTGTTCCTCAGACCCCAGCTCCCACCTCCGTCCTCAAGGACACCCACCCAGGAGACCTCGTACCCCCAGCAGGGGCCATCCTCCCAGCCCCAGTCACCACATATGTTTTCCCCGGGTTCCTCCTCAGGCTCCCGGCCATCCTCGCCTTGGGATCCATACGCCAAAATGGTGGGCACCCCGAGACCGCCCCCTGGGGGTGGTGGATCCACCACGCCCCGGCAGAACTCTCTGTCGGAGATGCAGGAAAGGGGAGGGAGGCCTTCCCCGGCCCACGAGTCGTTTGGCTTGCCCACGTCTGGTAATGCTGACCCCTATGCTAAGATGCCAGACACCCCCAGGCCCCCCGACCCCTTTGTTAAACCCATGGGACCCGCCAGGGTGGGCCCTTCAGGACTGGGTGAGCAGCAGCAACACCAGCAGGTCCAGGCACATGATGAGTCCTCCCTCTGGGGGAGAGACTTTTGCCAGGATGGGCGGACACCGAGCCGAGGTCTACCAGCGCATGTCTCACAACCGCATGATCCTCTCGGACCCCTACTCCAGGCCTTTGCTCACTCCCATCCCCGGCAGCAACGAGTCGGGCTCCGTGCCGGTGTTCAAAGCCCCCATGCCTCCCCAGCAGTCCCAGCAAGAGCCCTACAGTGGCCCTATGCCTGGGGGACTTAAACGAGGGCCATCTGATGGCTTTCCACAAGGACCACAGGCCGACCCTTACGCCCAGCAGCCTCTCACTCCCCGGCCACCCATGGGGGAAGGGTTCCCCAATGAGCCCAAGATGATGCGCCAACCCCAGGAGGGCCATTTCGCTCATCCCATGCCAATGATTAGACACCCTCACAGAAACCTGTATGCCCAAGCGCCATCTACCCCGAGGCCGGATTATTCACAGCAGATGTCTGACCCTTACGCCCAACCGCCAGGCACCCCCAGACCTCACTCTGATGGCTATGCCCAACCTCCTGGCACCCCAAGGCCACACTCGGATCCCTCATACCTGCAGACGCCACCTAGCATTCGTCTAGACCAGTTTCCCCAGCAGCACCCAGCCAATCACAGACAGTCTCCATCTCACTCCATGGATCCTTATGCTTCCATGCCAGGTACCCCCAGACCAGCCCCAGGGGATAGGTTTCCCAAATCCCCCAGTAGTCAAAGGAACATGGACCCCTATGCCCAACAACCCGGAACCCCAAGACCGCTCCACACCGACCCTTACGCCCAAGCTCCAGGGACACCGCGACCAGAAGCAGGCCCTGACGCCTTCAATCGACTATGCTCCAGACCGATACCCATGTCCCAGCTCCCAGCTGACCCCTTCTCCCACCAGTCTCCGGGCAGGGTGCAGGACGTGTTTGCCCATCCAAGCGCCCTGGGCTCTCAGACACCTAAGCACCCGGGAAAGTCGGATGAAGGTTTCTCTCTGCCGCAATCGAATCATCACGGTGGTCAAACGCAGATTCACGACCCCTTTGAACAGGGTCCAATGACACCTTTTGCCCAAACTTCGGAAAGGCAGGCCCATGATATCCCCCAGTCTATCAGCAACACTGTTGACGCTCAGAACAGCATGCTACCACACCTGGGAGACACTGAAGAGAAGCTCAGACAGGTATTTGCATTTGGTAGAGACGCAATGACACTCACATGGGTAACACATGATTTGCCATAAAACCTTCTTCTGTTTGCATAGTTATTGGCAGGTGATTAGTCATTCCGCATTCCAATATGGCAGTGCATGTTGGTGCAACGTGAAACATTTTTGCTTCTCTGTAAGGATCCCTAAAATTCGAATGAATGACTAAGTGCATGATGTAACTTGCTAAAGTGTACCGTGCTCTCCCCCCGCAGCGCCAGAGACTGCGCCAGCAGATCCTTAGGCTGCAGCAACAGAAGTCTGCCATCCGGCAAGAGAAAGGACTACTACAGGAAGCTGTTGCAGCCCCCAGCCCGGGGACACCCCACCACTGGTCACATGACGATCCCGCCCCACAGAGCGACATGTTCGGCAGACCACCACCACCTTACCCAGGACCCATGAGGGGCGGCCCCCACGTTCCCGGGGATCAGAGGTTCCCTGGTACCTTCCTAGAGGACCAGCGAGGACACTTCCCCAATGAGGGACAGTTTGCCAGACCCCACTTCCCCAGGGACATGGCCAACATGGGCAACATGGGCATGAGGCCACAAGGAATGAGGTTAGTTGAATTTGACAGCATAGATTTCACTCAGCTGTAGTTTGTTCAAACTTCTTTGTATGCACAGTCTTTACCCATATTCAGCTGTATATTTGTATAATTGGCTTGCAGAATTGATTGCGCCCCTTGAAACAATTCAATTAATACAAATATGTTAAACATGCTAGAAATGTGTAATGAAGTGTCATTATTGAAGTCCCACTTAGTGTAATCTTCCTTATTGAAGATGTGTGTAGGGCGCAATCAATGCTATTGTGTTCTGCCTGGGATGTAGTTATGGATGAGCATTTAACAATGTGTTTTCCATCTTTTCTACTCTCAGGTTTGGATTCCCCCCCGGCGCTCAAGGATCCCTTCAACCAGGCCAGGAGCAACACTTCCTCAGGCCCCTTCACCAGATGCCTGGCGGGCCCATGGTCGACAATGTGCCACCCCAGATGAGAATGTCCCACTCGGTGGAGTTTTCCAGGGGGGTCATGGAGGGCAACACCCAGATGGGGCTCTCCCCGCACTTCCCCCCACGGGGCCTTCCTGTCCAGCAGCACAACATCATGGGTCAGCCGTTCATCGAGCTCCGCCACAGGGCCCCTCAGAACAGGATGAGGATGCCCTTTGGGCATGGACCTCCCAATGTCATGGACCCCTCCAACCAGCCCCAGATAACACCCCAGGGCTTCATGGAAGGCCAGGAGATAGGCTTCGCCGGGAACCAGGGACCCAGAATGATGGACCCCATGATGGGCAGACCTTCCCAGGGATCGGTCGGTCACATGCAGATGTCGGCTAGTATGGAGAACCTGCACCAGCAGCAGACTGAAGTTCTGATGACCACAGGGCAGCAACAGCATCCTCCACTGAATAGGTCACTCAGCCACCCGGTCACTGGTGAGTCACTCAATGCAGCGCCATCTAGTATGCTCTTGCCTGGGTCTAGCACCGGTCAAACGGAGGAGACTCAGATACCCAGTGGAGACGGAATCGAGGAGAACTTGGATGCTGAAGACTCCGCAGTGAAGGACCTTGAAGATGTAGAGGTCAAAGACCTGGTCGACCTGAACCTGAACCTGGACCCGGATGATGGCAAAGACCTTGAACTGGGACCCAATGACCTGCACCTCGACGACTTCCTCATGTCGGGGAAGTTTGACCTCATCGCCTACACGGACCCCGAGCTCAACCTGGAGGACAAGAAAGACATGTTCAGTGAAGAAGATCTGGACCTGGGCGACCCCATGGAGGACCACCAACAGGGAGAGACCTCGGACCTCCAGAAAGCCCTGTCGGAGAAGAGGAAAGGCAGCGGGGATGGCGCAGCCACCTCGTCCCGATCGGTGGGGAAATCAGACAAACGGGAGGCCAACGAATCGAAAGAGACCTTGGACATGTTTAAAACCGAGGATACAATCAAAACGGAGGTCAAAGATGAACACCAAAATCAGGACCAGTCTCTCTGCAGTGGCCCGGTGAATGACAACAGAACCATGACAAACCAAGAGGGCGCAGGGCTGTATGAGCAGCCTGGACAGACTGGCTCCGGCTCAACTCCGGTCCTCTCCAGCATTCTGATCAAAGAGAAACTGGAAGACACTGGGTTTGGCCCAAACGGCTCTCCTCACCAAGGGGACATGGCTGCCCAGGCCACCGGGCTACACCCAAACACTGGCATGCTGATGCTACCTAGGCAACACGCCCAAGACAACAACAGGCTCAATCCCAGCGTGGCTATGGGACATCGGGTGAGCCCCGCGTTGGTTCAGAGCAGGCTTTCAATGGGAAACCCAAACCTCATCTCAGGAGGCAACCACAGCTTCGGGGCCTCAGCCAACCAGCAGGTGGAGCTAAACCTAGCCATGGTTGGAGCCAGTCAGCAGCCCAATGCCCACAGCCTGAACCCCCAGGGCCAGCAGGGCATGTTCCCCCAACAGCAGGGCCCCTCGCTGGGGCAGGCCGGCCCACAGAACAGGCCTCTGCTGCTGGAAGAGCAGCCACTCCTCCTACAGGACCTGCTGGACCAGGAGAGGCAGGAGCAGCAGCAGCAGAGGCAGATGCAGGCCATGATCCGACAGCGCTCCAGCGACTCCTTCTTCCCCAATATGGGTAAGGGCATTGAGCTTCAGATAGACATGTCAACTGTTTTGGTCACCCGTTTCATTTAGTCACACACATTACCAGGGTGTTGTCAGATTAGTTGTCTGGGGGTTTTGCAGTCATTTTGCATGGTCATCCTTTTTGGTATATATGAGGAATATCAAGCCATTTCAGTTGGAGCCTCATGCTTTATTCAAGATTTAGAGTGAAAATAAGTACTTGGCATTTGTTCAATTGTAATTTGAGGAACAGAATGTTGGACTTCATTTTTTTTGACAGACACTTTTGGGAGTCTTACTTCACCAGCATTCCATCCGTAATTTAGACATGAGGGGGGGCTTCTTTTGAAATGGCTTAAAAGGAGGTCAAACGCTAGGATTAAGTGGACCTTTTTATTTTTTAGCAGACTTTGATGCCATCACAGACCCGATCATGAAGGCCAAGATGGTAGCCCTGAAGGGAATCAATAAAGTCATGGCTCAGAACAGCATGGGAATGCCCCCAATAGTCATTAACAGGTAAGACAAAAGCTCACCTTACCGCTAGCTCATTATCTGTGCTTGTGGGTAATATGTACATTAATTTAAAGGCTTTTTGTAATACTCTCTTGGTCCGTCCAAAACACTATTGAGAAGCTTAGTATTGAATGGGAAATATTTAGAAGTCAATTTAATGTTCCCTAAAACAACGATCCTCTCATTGTCTTTGTGGCAGAATTCAGCAGACGCCGGGAGCACATGGACCAGATGCTGCCGCTGCTCTGCCTAAACATGTGCTTGGACAGGTAAGCATTGTGAATCAACCACTATCTGTCTGTCGGTTTCATCTATTCTGCTAAAAAACAAGGCCTCATTATCGTTTGTTAATTGTCTTCGCAGGACGGGAAGTTGGCTCCACAGATGGCGAGACCAAACCCCCCGAATTTTGGACCTGGATTCATCAGTGAGTGGACAACCCAATGTTTTTTTATTTGCATTTGATCAAGACATCCTTATTCACTTTAACCAAATTATTAATCATAGACCATTCTTTAGGTTTCTTCAGTATTTCATATGTTGATATACAATCCAGGGTCTATTCGATTTCACCTATATGCCTTTGGCATTTATACATCCAAAGTAAAAATGGCGCCTAACCCACTCTTGTCTCTCAGACGACAGCCAGAGGAAGCAGTATGAGGAGTGGCTCCAGGAGACCCAGCAGCTGCTCCAGATGCAGCAGAAGTTTCTAGAAGACCAGATTGGGGCCCACAGGAAGTCCAAGAAGGCCCTGTCGGCCAAACAGCGGACAGCCAAAAAGGCGGGCCGGGAGTTCCCTGAGGAGGACGTCGAACAGCTGAAGCATGTGACCGAGCAGCAGAGTGTGGTGCAGAAGCAGTTGGAGCAGGTAGCTAACTAAATGTAGCAGGGGTTAATTACCGGCATTCCATGTTGAAGGTTTTGGAAATATTTCGATCTTGGATTTGGTTTATATGTTTTTTACATTACATGATTTGACATCTTTACATGGCATAATCTGTAATATGATTGGAAATTCTGACTACCTAAATAATGTAACGAAAGATGAGAGGTTGTAGATGCTGTCATCTGTATGAAGTCGTCATTCACCTTGGAGAGGTGGATAAGATAAGGGAATCGTATCTTAAGCCACCTGAATAAATTGATTCTCTCTGAATCTTTGAGGGTCTACTTTAGGATTTGCCTCGGCCCTTTTGGATTTAAGCACCGGTATCCCTTTGGATTCTACCTTTATAGATTTTCTCTTGAAGTTAAACTCTTGATAGGCGGCTCTTTATCAGCTCTTTGATTTGTATTCCCGTCCCCTCATAAATGGGATAACACCTCAATTCTGACAATCTTAAACTTGATCATGACCATGAACTTTTTGGTTAAATGTCCTCCTCCTTGGCAACACACACCGAGCACACAAAGCTTGATTGCTGCAATACATCTGCTACTTTTAAAGAACTGCTTGTTTTATTGAGAATCAAGGGAAACATTACGGCCGAAAACAAACCTTTTGACCTTTTCTTAGCAACAAAGGGGTGACTTCGCTAATTATTTCCAACTGCGGTGACCTTTTCACTGTGGCGAGGTGCGAGACTTCACTGATGCATGAACACCACAGGAGACAGCAGACGTGATTTATTCTGTGACATTAACACACATCGTCTACTCGTGTCAACATTTTCACAAGGCTTTTTTAATGAGGTTTTACTACGTTTAATAAGAGGTTTTACTAAGTAACTGCCAAAATAAAGGAAACACCAACATAAAGTGTCTTAATGGGGCGTTGGGCCACCACGAGCCGCCATAACAGCTTCAATGCGCCTTGGCATAGATTCTACAAGTGTCTGGAACTCTATTGGATGGGATGCGACACCATTCTTCCACAAGAAATTCCATCAGTTGGTGTTTTGTTGATGGTGGTAGAAAACGCTGTCTCAGGCGCCGCTCCAGAATTGAGATCTGGTGACTGAGACACACACACACACACACACACACACACACACACACACACACACACACACACACACAGACACATACACACACTTTAAGCTCCTTTGAGACCCTATTTCAAAGTCACTGAGTTCTCTTCTTCTAGCCATGGTAGCCAAAATAATGGGCAACTGGGCATTTCTATACATGACCCTAACTAAGCATGATGGGATGTTAACTGCTTAATTAACTCAGGAACCACACCTGTGTGGAAGCACCTGCTTTCAATATACTTTGTATCCCTCATTTACTCAAGTGTTCCTTTTTTTGGCAGTATATTCTAAGATATAATGATAATGTTATTTACTTAGTAATGGTTCAATCTGATTTCTTGTGAGTAGTGGATTCATTGAAACATTTACTGTATCAATAAGCATTATCTGGTTCCAGGTAGTTTCTGTGATTGCCAGATAAATACCAATTCTAATTGGACTGGATAGAAAAGTGGTGCCTAAAAATGTTTCTCAATGCCTTCCTGGACTGTGAAGAACTGCGTGGGATCCCTTCAATCTGCTCATGTTTCTCTGTTTTCTTTTTCCTCTGTGTTATTTCTCTCTGGTAGATTCGGAAACAGCAGAAAGACCATGCAGAGCTGATAGAGGAGTACCGTGTCAAGCAGCAGCAGCAGCAGCAGCAACAACGGCCAAGTCTCCAGGCTCCTATGATGCCAGGGATGCCACCCATGCCAGGGATGCCTACTCAAGCTGCACCTATGATGCCCGGAGCACCCTCTATGGGCCAGCCAATGATGGGGCCCATGATGCAAATGCAGCCCCACCCTGGCCAACCTAACCCTGCCCGCATTCCCAACATGCCAGGCTGGCACCCAGGGGGAGTCCAAGGACCGATGGGAGGCCCAGGTCCAAGAATTCCAGGTCAAATGCCCCCACAGATGCCCCTTGCCAGCCCTGCCCAGTTGCCCCAGCCCCAGTTACCACCCCAGGCCCAACTACCACCTCAGCCCCAGTTACCACCCCAGCCCCAACTACCACCTCAGCCCCAGCTTCAGCCACCACCCTCAATGGTGTCTGGAGCAAGAGCTACAGCAATGGGCAACGGAACAGGTGCCCAGGGAGCCAGCGGAGCTAACGATGGAAGTGGTGGAAACAGCCTCGCTGTGAAATTTGACGACAACAACCCATTCAGCGAGGGCTTCCAGGAGCGCGAGAGGCGGGACCGCCTGAGGGAGCAGCAGGAGAGACAGCGGATCCAGCTGATGCAGGAGGTGGAGAGGCACCGGGCCATGCAGCAGCGACTGGAGATGGAGCAGCAAGGCCTGGGTCTGGGGCCTACTGGGCTCCCACCCGGCTCCGGAGCTACTAACTCCGGAGGGGATAGCCTGGCCCACATGCCATTCTACAGTACTGATCTTCCCCAAGACTTCATGCAACCCTCTAAGCATCAACAACAGCCACAACAGCAGCAGCAGGGGCAGCTAGGGCCCATGTACCCCCAGCAGAGCAACATGCAGCCAGGCTTCACCAGCGCTGGTGGGCCGCTCCCAGGTCAGGGCTTCATGCCGGATGGTGTGCACAGGCCCATGCCTGGGAACAGGGCATTTGGTAGTCCAGAGATGGGTCCCAAAATCCCCATGCTACAGGGGCTCAACTACCCCCCTGGACAGCCCCGTCCTGCCGGGTTCAGAGGCCCTGGGATGATGCCTCAGGTTGGGGGCGAGGGACAGGGACCCCCGTTTGGAATGGACTCATCCACCCCCCTACCTCCCAACTACCCCGGCTCAGGCCAGTCCTTGATCCAGCTCTACTCCAACATCATCCCAGAGGAGAAGGCTAAGAAGAAGAGGAACAGGAAGAAGAAGAGAGAGACTGTTGACGACGCAGACTCAGTCAAGACCCCATCCACTCCCCACTCGGACCTCTGCGCCCCACTGACTCCCTCCCGCGTGTCTGACACTTCATCCACCCGGAGCCTCAGCATTCCCGGAGAGCAGGATCTGTCTGATCTTTTCCTCCCTGTGGGGTCCTCAGGTTTGGCCCCCTCCTCAGAACTGGAGAGGCAGCTCTCGGGCAGCAGCTTAGCCCAGGGTGGCTGCTCCAGCATGGGCTCAGAGAATGACAGGGCCTCCCTGTTTGACGAAACCCTCCAAATCAAGCTGGAGAGGATAGAGACTGAGTGCAGAGGGGCGGCGGCCAACGACGGGTCTGCCTTGGGGCAGGGTCCCCGAGCCGGGGGGACAGTGAAGGAGGAGGAGGGAAGCGAGGAGGGGCTCTCTTCGACCCTCCACGGTGCCAAAGGGGGCGACGCGGGGAACGAGCTGCTTAAGCACCTGCTGAAGAACAAGAGCACGCCCCCGCTAGTTGCCAACGCTAACCAGACCCCTCCCACACAGCAGATATCCTGCAACAGCCTTTGCTCAGAGCAGGAGGCCTCGGCAGACCTCAGAGCCACCACCAGGCCGGCCTCCACCACCAACAACATGGTGAGAAGGGAAAGACCACATTCACACAGAAACTATAATCATCACACCCATAGGATACTACATCTTCTGAAATCAAGCTATTTGGGTATAAAATGCACAAACAATTGCTTTTCAGTACTACATTCCTAAAGAAAGCCCTTTGTTGTGTGTATAATAGTAGCTCACCAACCTTGCTTGTATCATTGTAATTTCCCAGACTCCCCCGCACAGTCAGCTGATAGGAAGCACAGAGCTCCTAGAACCCTCGGTGCCGGCGCAGGGCAAGAGGAAGCAGCAACGCAACAAACGGACACCCAAAAACGGGGCGGAGAAACTGCCATCACGCTACAAGAGGAGGAAGAAGGAGGAAGAGGAGAGGCACATCAGTTATTCTATTACTGACACTCTGCCCCAGCTCAAACAGGTACAGGTCATAATGGTCGGCCACCAAACAGTGTTGATTGGCTTGTGTTTATTGAATGTGCAGTGGTGATTTTAGCATGTAAATCTTGGTGAGGGAAACTCCCCAAAACATTTTTTAGATGCATGCCAGCAAAGCTACTACACAACACTAAACAATACATTCATTGCACTTTAACGGTGGCAAACGGTACCCACAAACTGTTAGGGCCTACATAAGCTGTCTCAACAGCAGAGCTTTCTTTTCAGCACCATGTAGTGAATCCTTACCACTGCTACACCTGGCTATCAGTGGAGCCTTGTCTGGCAGCAAAACAATTCATTCAGCCTCATTTACTGCCTTTTTTTAAAAACATAGCTGATATGGCTGACTTGCTTAAATAAATGTGGTTTCTACTGACAATTGAGATGTACAAACTATGGCATAAGGGGACAACAAGTGGATAATCCTTAATTTTGATTAAGACATTAATGAGCGAGCTAGGACGGACGTAGTCAATATAACTATTTGTTCAGCACTTTTGAAATGTACAGCAACAGAATTCAGAACATGGGCCATTCTTAGAGTATTCTCCCTGTACACCAAGTCAGAACCGTAGGATAAATAAAGGGGGCATATAAGCAGACAATGAAAGCTCTTACAATATTTGATGATGACATTTCTCTAAAACAGGCTATATGTGCACCACCAGGTCAGAACAGTAGGCTAAGTTATGAGGGGGAAATAGGCCAAATTATTAGGGTGAGGCACATGGGCTACTAATAGCTTACTACACAACATACACTTAGTATTACATTCTTAGCTACAGTATATATATCTCCCTGGCATATTACATAATTTATGCAGCAGCATACAATACATTTTTGGACTCACCTTGTTGTTCTGTGCTCACTTGAACAGGAAGGTGGTGCGGCGGTCCTTGTGGGCAAACTTTGTCATCAAAGTCTGGCGTTCTCTGGATTTATGGTGCTTTCAAGACAATTGGGAACTTGGAAAAGAACAAGGTTGAATCATGACGTCAGTGATCTTCAGGTCGGAGCTCTAGAAAGAGGCCAGAGTTCCCAACTTGGAATTCCGAGTTGGATGACCGTTCAAAATGTTTTTTTCAGAGTTTCCAGTTGTCTTGAACTCACTGAAGTCTGAGATTTCCCAGTTCCGAGTTTCCAGTTGTTTTGAACGTGGCTGAAGTCATGCTGGATTGACAGCATGGCCAATGTATTCAACCTTTTCTGGCCCATGGTGTTGCATGTGAATGTTTATCCTTTTAAGCTTGGAAAAGAGACCCTTAAATGCATACTTAGACCACACACCTTCTCCACTGAATAGCAGGCTAGTGATTGCTTTGCAACGCTTGCAGTTAGCCACTGATTCCTTCCACACCACTCATTGTTGAATTTGCGATTTCCTACTTGTTGTGTAATGTTTATGTCCAATGAGCACTGATACGTTTTATCTATAATTTCTCTTCATATGACAAGGAATTGGCAGTAGATTGTCGACTTGATTCATGATGATGACTGCTTGTCTAGCTTGCTTGCTAAGATTTTGAAGGTATGATGTTGACATGATCAGTCCAATCAAAGCTACAGTAGATATAACGTGATTTGACGTCAGTTTATCTGTGGCCAATGGCCTTGAGCCTTCTTGGATGGGCACTTACATTTTTTTGTATTTTACCCCCTTTTTCTCCCCAATTTTGTGGTATCCAATTGGTAGTTACAGTCTTGTCCCATCCCTGCAACTCCCGTACGGACACGGGAGAGGCGAAGGTCGAGAGTCATGCGCCCTCCGAAACACAACCCAACCGAGCCGCACTGCTTCTTGACACGGTGCCCGCTTAACACGGAAGCCAGCCGCACCAATGTGCCGGAGGAAACACTGTACACCTGGCGACCGAGTCAGCGTGCACTGCGCCCGGCCCGCCACAGGAGTCGCTAGTGTGCGATGGGACAAGAACATCCCTGCCTTCCAAACCCTCCCCTACCCTGGACGGCGCTGGGCCAATTGTGTGCCGCCCCATGGGTTTCCCGGTCGCGGCCGGCTGTGACAGAGCCTGGACTTGAACCAGGATCTCTAGTGGCACAGCTAGCACTAGAGCCTTAGACCACTGCGCCACTCGGGAGGCCCGGATGGGCACTTCTAATGTAAATCTATGGCAGCACCCAAGGGGCTTGAATTTTCTCGATTTCCCTGTAGATTTTGCGGTGACGTAGTGTCCCAATGCGTGAGAGAACACTGAGCCAATCACGGCGCAACTAGAGAACATTACATTACCTCTGTATTTTCCGCTGGCTGCCCCACCACCACAGAAAGCACGGAGCTAGGCTGAAATACCTGCATTTTGGAGCAAAAATGAGACCATGTTTGTATGCGGCTTCATTAACTCAATGTTTATACATTGTTTGCAAACTGATATGTGACATGTATTAATGCCAAAATAACATGCTCAGCCCCACCTGCCCTGAATGAAGGGTCGCCACTGTGAATGTGTTGATTGGCCTGGTATTGTAGCCAGGCCTAAAACAATAGTTTTATTTAGTACAAATGTCCAGATTTTGATGATGTGTAAAACATTTGATTGATGGTGTTTAATGTTGCATGTGTGTGGTGCCGCTATGTGCAAATTAGCACTCAGGCTGCTGATTTTGTAGATGAATGTGGATCTGATATCTTCCTCTGCAGCTGCTTGGGTACAAATGTGGGTGTTATTTTTCTGTTTTCTGTTAACACACCTCATAAATTACTGTCATCTTGATATGTAATTACTTTAATTTAGGTTTAATTGAACGGCCCGTGGATTTTTAAAAGTAGCACTCGCAATTTGTGGAAGGCATAAACAGAATATTACATGGAAAATATATAATCATCTTTAGGTGATTAATAATAAAATAAGGAAATTGCATGTCATTCAGATGATGAGGAGATATACCATGGGTAGCAGTGAACTGTTCTGCTTTTTGTCTGGACCTCCCATGTCTCCGTACACTTTCGATAACAGTCTAGGTTAAAATGACTTCAGTTAATAACCGTCAATAGTTTTCATTCAATTTCTAGAGCAAATGTTGATCCTGTTTAGTGCTTACCTCGAAAGCCTTTGGTCTTACTAACCCTCTTTCTTTCCACTCTTCAACCCTTTCTCTTCCTCTCCTTCCACCCTTTCTCTTCCTCTCCTTCCACCCTTTCTCTTCCTCTCCTTCCACCCTTTCTCTTTCTCTACCTCTCCTTCCACCTCTTCTCTTCCTCTCCTTCCACCTCTTCTCTTCCTCTCCTTCCACCTCTTCTCTTCTCTTCCTCCACGTCCACCCCCTCAGGATCACTCTCTACTGCCCCTGATGGAGCCCCTAATGGGGGTCAACTTTGCCCACTTCCCACCCTTCGGCAGCGGGCAGCTCAACGGGGAGAACAGGCTGTCAGGCTCCTTCGGCAGCGGGCAGCTCAACGGGGAGAACAGGCTGTCAGGCTCCTTCGGCAGCGCCTTGCTCGACGGTGTGTCAGACTACTACTCACAGCTCATTTACAAGGTGAAGAGAGCACACTGTTAGGTCAAAATGTGTGTATGGACGTCCGTCCGTTTTCCAGGTGAAGAGTACAACAAGGTATATCATAGGAAAGGAATAGATTTAATAGAAAAATAAAAAGGATACCCGCACACTGTTCAATGCTCCTGTATATTCAAACACATTTCCCTAGTTGGATTCAGTTAGGATGTTGTGTGCTTTGCCATTTTTGTAGCAGAACAACTTGAGCAACCCGCCCACCCCTCCAGCATCACTCCCACCCACTCCGCCTCCCGTGGCGAGGCAGAAGATGGTCAATGGGTTCGCCACTGCCGAGAACCTCGCCAGGAAAGCCGCCATCTTGGGCGGCCATGATGGTAAAGTAACTCGTTAAAAATCACTTCGGAGAAGTAATGCTGTGGTAACATTGTAGCTATTATTAAAGGGATATTAAATATATATATACAGTGGGGGGAAAAAAGTATTTAGTCAGCCACCAATTGTGCAAGTTCTCCCGCTTAAAAAGATGAGAGAGGCCTGTAATTTTCATCATAGGTACACGTCAACTATGACAGACAAAATGAGAAAAAAAATCCAGAAAATCACATTGTAGGATTTTTTATGAATTTATTTGCAAATTATGGTGGAAACTAAGTATTTGGTCACCTACAAACAAGCAAGATTTCTGGCTCTCACAGACCTGTAACTTCTTCTTTAAGAGGCTCCTCTGTCCTCCACTCGTTACCTGTATTAATGGCACCTGTTTGAACTTGTTATCAGTATAAAAGACACCTGTCCACAACCTCAAACAGTCACACTCCAAACTCCACTATGGCCAAGACCAAAGAGCTGTCAAAGGACACCAGAAACAAAATTGTAGACCTGCACCAGGCTGGGAAGACTGAATCTGCAATAGGTAAGCAGCTTGGTTTGAAGAAATCAACTGTGGGAGCAATTATTAGGAAATGGAAGACATACAAGACCACTGATAATCTCCCTCGATCTGGGGCTCCACGCAAGATCTCACCCCGTGGGGTCAAAATGATCACAAGAACGGTGAGCAAAAAACCCAGAACCACACGGGGGGACCTAGTGAATGACCTGCAGAGATCTGGGACCAAAGTAACAAAACCTACCATCAGTAAGACACTACGCCGCCAGGGACTTAAATCCTGCAGTGCCAGACGTGTCCCCCTGCTTAAGCCAGTACATGTCCAGGCCCGTCTGAAGTTTGCTAGAGTGCATTTGGATGATCCAGAAGAGGATTGGGAGAATGTCATATGGTCAGATGAAACCAAAATATAACTTTTTGGTAAAAACTCAACTCGTCGTGTTTGGAGGACAAAGAATGCTGAGTTGCATCCAAAGAACACCATACCTACTGTGAAGCATGGGGGTGGAAACATCATGCTTAGGGGCTGTTTTTCTGCAAAGGGACCAGGACGACTGATCCGTGTAAAGGAAAGAATGAATTGGGGCCATGTATCGTGAGATTTTGAGTGAAAACCTCCTTCCATCAGCAAGGGCATTGAAGATGAAACGTGGCTGGGTCTTTCAGCATGACAATGATCCCAAACACACCGCCCGGGCAACGAAGGAGTGGCTTCGTAAGAAGCATTTCAAGGTCCTGGAGTGGCCTAGCCAGTCTCCAGATCTCAACCCCATAGAAAATCTTTGGAGGGAGTTGAAAGTCTGTGTTGCCCAGCGACAGCCCCAAAACATCACTGCTCTAGAGATCTGCATGGAGGAATGGGCCAAAATACCAGCAACAGTGTGTGAAAACCTTGTGAAGACTTACAGAAAACGTTTGACCTGTGTCATTGCCAACAAAGGGTATATAACAAAGGATTGAGAAACTTTTGTTATTGACCAAATACTTATTTTCCACCATAATTTGCAAATAAATTCATAAAAAATCCTACAATGTGCTTTTCTGGATTTTTTTCCCTCATTTTGTCTGTCATAGTTGACGTGTACCTATGATGAAAATTACAGGCCTCTCATCTTTTTAAGTGGGAGAACTTGCACAATTGGTGGCTGACTAAATACTTGTTTTCCCCACTGTATATATATATATATATCAAAGAATCTTTACTGGCATTGCAATGGCAAAATACAAATTTCTATGATCTGAAAATAAAAAGGACAATACATTTTTGTTTTTCAATGGCTGAAATATGTTTGTTGTTGAATGAACATTAGTGATCAAAGGCCTGGGAGCCAAGAAGCTGCCTACAGCGTTCCGGACAGAGGAAGACCTCATGGCCCATGCCATCAACCAGGGGCCCAAGACAGTGGACGTCCCTGCCTCACTCCCCACACCACCCCATAACAACCAGGAGGAACTCAGGTGAGGACTTGCAAATTCACATTTCAATGGGATTTTAGAGGCAGGATAGTTCCTACCTGGCTTCTGAACGAGTAACTGTAGTAACTGTAATTTTGCTTCTGAGCGGAGAGTGGAGTATTAAAGACTGACTTCTGCACTGCCGAGCCAAGCTGTACTGCATTGTCCCACTGGTTGAACTAGTTTCCCTGATTCTGTGTATGTCCCAGGGGCCAGGACCACTGTGTAGACAGGGACACCCCCGACAACTTTGTCCCCTCCTCGTCCCCCGAGAGCGTAGTCGGCATGGACATCAGCCGCTACCCCGACCTGTCAAAGGTCAAGGAGGAGCTCCCATCCCCATGCTCCTCTCCCGTCATACCCATGCTGCCTAGCGCCAGCGGGAAAGGTAAGAATCACACACACACCCCTTTCACTCCTGACTGAAATAGAGGTACCAATAAATTGTATTTTAAAGTTATGTTGAGTTATAAGAAGGTTTGCTTGTTAGTAATACTAATCATTAGGGAGCCATTGTATTGGTGAATATCTTTTAAGAATCTTTCCTCAGGCCAGGGTTGTACAAGTATTTTAACTGCTGCTTTGTGTTAGTTCCTCTGTAATATTAGATTGTCTGGTTGTTTCCTTTAGGAACTGAGATAAAGCAAGAGGTCAAGACTGAACCGTCGAGCTCCTTCTTCGGGTCCCTGTTTGGACAGCCTCCATCCTGCGCCAAAGCTGGCTTGGTATCCATAGCAATCACCTTGAATCCGGTCGCAGCGGAGGTGAGTGGATAAACGCAACTGTGAACAACCCATTTTTACTATTATAGTTCCGTTTATTTCATGTTGTACACATTTGCAGCTAGAAACTGAATTGCAGTGGACATAGTGAATACATACATAAATGTAAATACACTACTGGGTAAGCAAGCCAGACCATATACAACACATTCAAGAAAGCTATTTTCCGTGATAGTCTCACGTATAGCATCGGCAGGGAGGGGTAGGCAACTAGATTCAGCCACGGGCTGATTTTTGCCGGAGCAAATAGACGGGGGGCCGGAAAAAAATTATAATAATTTGTACATTGCAAATTGACCACAACTAAGCCCAAAAAGAGATTGTATTTGAAAAGAACAATAATTTCATACCTTGATTATGTTGAGACAATAACATATTTATTTTATTTGTGGGAATACTTGGGAACCGATTTCCTAAATTAAACTCATTTTTAGCTGAATTCCTGGTGATTTTAGTAACAAAATAAATAATAATAATCCCCCCCAAAAATACAAAACTCACTTGCGGGCCGGTTTTGAGCAGCCTGTTGCCGACCCCTGGCGCATGGGGCTGTTGTATTGACCACATTTACATCATTTAGCAGACGCTCTTATCCAGAGCGACTTACAAATTGGTGCATTCAACTTATGATAGCCAGTGGGACAACCACCTTTTTGGGGGGAGGGAGGGGTGGGGGAAGAAGGATTACTTTATACTATTCCAGGTATTCCTTAAAGAGGACCACCACTGGCTATGAACTTATTTGACCTCCCTGACCCTTCTGGACCTGCAGAACATCCCTGGTGTGGTGGCTGCGGTGGCCGATCTACTGTGTGTGACCATCCCCGGCAGCTACGAGGTGAGCCGCGGCCCCGAGCGCAGCTCCCTGGCCTTACTGGCTGGACTCAAGGTGCCTCAGACCCAAGGCATGGACCCCCTTCACGTCGCCATGCTCCCCCAGCACCAGCAGCCCCCCGCCATGAGGTTCCTGAGACCCCCCGGACCACCCACTCATCCCAGAATTAGCCAGCAGTTTCAGCCCATCGGCCCGCCCACCAGCGCAGGTCAGTACACACCAGCAATCCAACTTCGGGTAAGACGAGGGGTGGCGGTCTCTGTATTTTTGTAAACAACAGCTGGTGCACAAAATCAAATACTAAGGAAGTCTCGAGGTTTTGCTCGCCTGAGGTAGAGTATCTTATGATAAGCTGTAGACCACACTATTTACCAAGAGAGTTTTCATCTATACTTTTCATAGCTGTCTATTTACCACCACAAACCAATGCTGGCATTAAGATTGCACTGAATGAGTTGTACAAGGCCATTAATCAACAGGAAAACGCTCATCCAGATGCAGCGCTCCTAGTAGCAGGGGACTTTAATGCAGGGAAACTTAAATCCGTTCTACCTCATTTCTACCAGCATGTTAAATGTGCAACCAGAGGGGAAAAAAACTCTAGACCACCTTTACTCCACACACAGAGACGCATACAAAGCTCTCCCTCGCCCTCCATTTGGCAAATCTGACCATAACTCTATCCTCCTGATTCCTGCTTATAAGCAAAAACTGAAGCAGGAAGCACCAGTGACTCGGCTAATAAAAAAGTGGTCAGATGACGCAGATGCTAAGCTACAGGACTGTTTTGCTAGCACAGACTGGAACATGTTCAGGGATTCTTCAGACAGCATTGAGGAGTACACCACATCAGTCACTGGCTTCATCAATAAGTGCATCGATGATGTCGTCCCCACAGTGACCGTACGTACATACCCCAACCAGAAGCCATGGATTACAGGAAACATCCGCACTGAGCTAAAGGGTAGAGCTGCCGCTTTCAAGGAACGGGACTCTAACCCGGACGCTTATAAGAAATCCCGCTATGACCTCCGACGAACCATCAAACAGGCAAAGAGTCAATACAGGTCTAAGATTGAATCATACTACACTGGCTCTGACGCTCGTCGGATGTGGCAGGGCTTGAAAACTATTACAGACTACAAAGGGAAGCACAGCCACGAGCTGCCCAGTGACACAAGCCTACCAGACGAGCTAAACCACTTCTATGCTCGCTTCGAGGCAAGCAACACTGAAGCATGCATGAGAGCACCAGCTGTTCCGGACGACTATGTGATCACGCTCTCCGTAGCCGATGTGAGTAAGACTTTTAAGCAGGTCAACATTCACAAGGCCGCAGGGCCAGACGGATTACCAGGACGTGTACTCCGAGCATGTGCTGACCAACTGGCAAGTGTCTTCACTGACATTTTCAACATGTCCCTGACTGAGTCTGTAATACCAACATGTTTCAAGCAGACCACCATAGTCCCCGTGCCCAAGAACTCTAAGATAACCTGCCTAAATGACTACCGACCCGTGGCACTGACGTCTGTAGCCATGAAGTGCTTTGAAAGACTGGTCATGGCTCACATCAACAGCATAATCCCAGAAACCCTAGACCCACTCCAATTTGCATACCGCCCCAACAGATCCACAGATGATGCAATCTCTATCGCACTCCACACTGCCCTTTCCCACCTGGACAAGAGGAACACCTACGTGAGAATGCTATTCATTGACTACAGCTCAGCATTCAACACCATAGTGCCCTCAAAGCTCATCACTAAGCTAAGGATCCTGGGACTAAACACCTCCCTCTGCAACTGGATCCTGGACTTCCTGACGGGCCGCCCCCAGGTGGTAAGGGTAGGTAACAACACATCTGCCACACTGATCCTCAACACGGGGGCCCCTCAGGGGTGCGTGCTCAGTCCCCTCCTGTACTCTCTGTTCACCCATGACTGCATGGCCAGGCACGACTCCAACACCATCATTAAGTTTGCCGACGACACAACAGTGGTAGGCCTGATCACCGACAACGATGAGACAGCCTATAGGGAGGAGGTCAGAGATCTGGCCGTGTGGTGCCAGGACAACAACCTCTCCCTCAACGTGACCAAGACAAAGGAGATGATTGTGGACTACAGGAAAAAAAAGAGGACTGAGCACGCCCCCATTCTCATCGACGGGGCTGTAGTGGAACAGGTTGAGAGCTTCAAGTTCCTTGGTGTCCACATCACCAACGAACTATCATGGTCCAAACACACCAAGACAGTCGTGAAGAGGGCACGACAAAGCCTATTCCCCCTCAGGAGACTAAAAAGATTTGGCATGGGTCCTCAGATCCTCAAAAAATTCTACAGCTGCACCATCGAGAGCATCCTGACTGGTTGCATCACCGCCTGGTATGGCAACTGCTTGGCCTCTGACCGCAAGGCACTACAGAGGGTAGTGCGTACGGCCCAGTACATCACTGGGGCAAAGCTCCCTGCCATCCAGGACCTCTATACCAGGCGGTGTCAGAGGAAGGCCCTCAAAATTGTCAAAGACTCCAGTCACCCTAGTCATAGACTGTTCTCTCTGCTACCGCACGGCAAGCGGTACCGGAGTGCCAAGTCTAGGTCCAAAAGACTTCTCAACAGCTTCTACCCCCAAGCCATAAGACTCCTGAACAGCTAATCATGGCTACCCGGACTATTTGCACTGCCCCCCCACCCCATCCTTTTTACGCTGCTGCTACTCTGTTAAGTATTTATGCATAGTCACTTTAACTCTACCCACATGTACATATTACCTCAACTAGCCGGTGCCCCCGCACATTGACTATGCAACGGTACCCCCCTGTATATATAGCCTCCCTACTGTCACTTTATTCTATTGTATATATAGCCTCCCTACTGTCACTTTATTTTTTACTTCTGCTCTTTTTTTCTCAACACTTTTTTGTTGTTTTATTCTTACTTTTTTGTTTAAAATAAATGCACTGTTGGTTAAGGGCTGTAAGTAAGCATTTCACTGTAATGTCTGCACCTGTTGTATTCGGCGCATGTGACCAATAAAATTTGATTTGATTTGACTTTAATGTGCCGACGGTAACAACTGATAGTGATGGAAGAAATTCAGTTTCTGGCCCACAGAGCTGGTAAAATGGTGGTGGAACCATATCTTTCAGTGAAACTATTTCACAACAATCTCTCTTACGCCATTTAAATTAATATATTTATCAGTGTCATGTTATTAACAGACTAACAATCAAATGGCATGTTTTCCTAGCCTAGGAAACTAGGAAACTTGTTCCTAAGCTTTTCATTTGGGTTATTTCAAAACAGTAGTTTTCAGTTTGTACAAGCTATTTTAGTAAGTAGCTTTTAGCTCAGTAAATGGCAGGCAATTAAGCGCTGTGATGAAGTGATTTTCATCCCATTACCCTCGATCAAGGGAATTGGCTGTTTCGAACAGATTTTGGGCAAAAGCTGGGCACGGAAACATCAGTCTGTGTGAGTCAGAAAACCTCTGTTACTCTCAGTGGATAGTCCTATCTAGCCTCTTATTGATATATAATATATAATAATAATATGCCATTTAGTAGACGCTTTTATCCAAAGGGACTTACAGTCATGCGTGCATACATTTTTTTGTGTATGGGTGGTCCCGGGGATCGAACCCACTACCTTGGCGTTACAAGCGCCGTGCTCTACCAGCTGAGCTACAGAGGACCATTAGTGATCATGTCACTAATGATTGGGAGGTTGAACCTGTTAGCTCTTTGGCTGCAGACTTTAAAAATATAACATATCAGACGTCGTCTAATTTGATTGTGAAGAAGCCCTTTGAAATAACCCCAATGCAGGATCTGTCTGTTTCCTTCTCGTTCAGCTGTCTTTCGCCCAGGTGTTTTTAGTGACGAATTGATGTAAAAAATAGCATGTTTTTTACATTATAAAATGTTCTGCAATGTTGATGGTCAGTCTGATTTGAGTTGTTTGTGTTTTAGGTCCAGCTGCCAGGGGTGAGGGGCCTAAACCCCAGTGGTGCTGCCACTGCAAGGTGGTGGTTCTGGGAAACGGAGTGCGCAAGTCCACCAAAGACCTACCCTGCAGCAAACGGGTAAGCCCCAGATCAGTTGTTGCTCAACTGAAGCAAGTATTGTTACTTAATATGAACATGTTTAGTCATTTAAACTGCATAAGCCTGAAATGTAATTCCTTTCTTTTGGTGCCCACTGAACATTATGCTGACATGTCTCTGCTTTCTGCAGGAGAGACAGAGCCGGGTGGAAGGCATGGTCTTCTGCAGCCGCAGCTGTTTCATCCTCCATGCCACGGACACACAGTCCAAAGCCAAGGACAGTAAGGTGTGCATCTCTAACTGTAGTTATCCTACAACTCTTGTCTTGAATCTTCTCTTTTGATCTCACATTTACATTTACATCATTTAGCATACGCTCTTATCCAGAGCGACTTACAAATTGGTAATCTCTTAGCTTTTAGAGAACCTCACTGACACCAGTACGTTATGTAGACAGACAGACCGACAACAAGACAGGATTTTTACAATAGGTTGTAGATTGCATAGAGAATGAGTGGATTTGTGTTTTCATGTAAGCGCAGTCAAAAAGCAGGTGGACTATTCTAACATGGTCTTACAATGACCACAGCTGGGCAAACAAAGATGCTGAGAGTAATTAGCATGAGACTTGGCATTGGATTCCTAATGAGTAAACTCTCTTTCGCAGCCAAACATGTCTCCTCTCTTGCCTGAGTCGTCGGTCAAAGAGAGCCCGTCTAAGGTGCTCCACCAGTACAGCAACAACATGTCCACACTGGACGTCCACTGCCTGGCCCAGCTGCAGCCCAAACAGTCTGCCCCCTCCAGTCCCCCTCCCATCTCTTTCCCCACGGAGAAACCTAAGCCGGACACCCTCAAGGTGACGGTCAAGCTCAAGCCAAGGCCCCGGGCGGTCCACTCTGCCAGCGGGGGTGGTGATGACATGTCGCCCCGCCACCACAAGCGCTGGAAGGGCCTGCGCTGGCGCAAGTGGAGCGTGCACATCGTGTTTCCCACTAGGGGCAGCCTGCTGTCCTCTCTGCCCGGTGAGGATGAGGTGGACGAGCTGCTGAGGAAGCTGGGTGCCTCTCTGCGTCCCGATCCCCTCCCTCGCGACCTGCGGCGTTGCTGCTTTTGCCACGAGGAGGGCGACGGCATGACAGACGGGCCTGCACGCCTCCTCAACCTGGACCTGGACCTGTGGGTACACCTCAACTGCGCCCTGTGGTCATCGGAGGTGTACGAGACGCAGGCGGGCGCCCTGATCAACGTGGAGCTGGCGCTGCGGCGGGGCATGGCAGTGCGCTGCACCTACTGCCAGCAGACAGGGGCCACCAGTGGCTGCCACCGACTGCGCTGCGCCAACGCCTACCACTTCACGTGCGCGCTCAAGGCCCAGTGCACCTTCTTCAAGGACAAGACCATGCTGTGCCACCTGCACCGGCCCCGTGGCATCGGCAGTGGCGATGGGAGAGGAGGCGACAGGGTCTTGGCGCCCGCCGCTACCCACCACGACCACGAGCTGCGATGCTTCGCAGTGTTCCGCCGCGTCTACGTGCAACGCGACGAGGCCCGGCAGATGGCCAGCATCGTGCAGCGTGGCGAGCGCCGGCACACGTTCCGCGTGGGAAGCCTGGTGTTCCACACCGTGGGTCAGCTGCTGCCCCAGCAGATGGCCTCCTTCCACTCAGCAAACGCCATCTTCCCCGTGGGCTACCGGGCCAGCCGCATCTACTGGAGCACACGCCATGGCAACCGCCGCTGCCGCTACCTGTGCTCGGTGGAGGAGAACGAGGGCCAGCCGGAGTTTGTGGTGCGGGTGATAGAGCAAGGCTACGATGACCTGGTGCTCACCGGCGCCTCACCCAAAGGTAAGAGGGCAGGGTGGGGTGAGAAACCCACCGGGGTCAAATACATAAGTCAAATACTTGAGGTGCATGGAACCAAAGGAATAGTCCAAAATGTGCAAACAACTCAAAAGCTACATCAAGCTCACCTCAAATACTTTGACAAATGCATTGGTCTGGTGTAGAAACCAGGTGAAGGATGGTTAGAAAACCAGACCAAATATGGGTTAGGGTTAGATTTACACAAACTAAAACTATACACATCCTGATAAATGAATCTAGTAACATCTAGTTACCCTGACTGTTGAATCTCCCCCTTGTGTTGTAGGTGTATGGGACAAGATTCTAGAGCCTGTGGCTGAACGGCGTAACGAATCAGGAACTCTGAAACTGTTCCCTGTCTACCTGAAGGGAGAGGACCTGTTTGGATTCACCGTCACCGCTGTCACCAGGATCGTAGAATCGGTAAGAGCAGAGATAGAGAGGGATAATAAAATGGATAGTCAGAGTTTAACGTTTTAGGTGAGCAGTTTGGTTTTGACTTTTGAATGTTTTCAAAGGCCATTAGTTTGGGCAAATTTAAAACACTTTTGTTAAAAGCTCCAATACAAAATAACTTCAACTCCATTAAGTGCTTTAAATGAAAAGGCTTTCCATATGCACTCTTAAGTACTTTGACGGAAGGTTCTCCATCAAACACACTTTTTTTATCTAACTTTCCATTTGATTATGAAAGCACTTTTTCAATCTAAGGTTAAGTGGTGTAATTTTTAAATTCCCTGTAGGAAAAACAGTTCAATAAATCCACTTATGCATCATAATGGAAACCTGAAATGTACTAGTGAGTGTTTAAAGTAAGATGAATACTTGATTGCAGCTTGTAATGAACAACTATCGGTCATTATTGACCCATTTTAATGGAAAATGTAAATAAAATATTGTTTTTTTGTGTGTGTGTGCGCGTTTCCCAGCTCCCTGGAGTGGAAGCCTGCGACAGATATACTTTCCGGTTCGGACGCAACCCTCTCATGGAGCTCCCCTTGGCCATAAACCCAACTGGCAGTGCCCGCTCAGAACCCAAGGCCTGCAGCCATGTCAAGAGGTTGGTGTTAAGGTATTCTGTGTCATTTTACACTTTTAAGTTCCTGCCATGTTTGTTTCGGTTGACCACTGTTTTCTCTCTGGAACACTCTTTGTTCCATTCACAACAAGGTGTTCTCTCGCTCGCTCGCTCGCTCTCTCTCTCTCTCTCTCTCTCTCTCTCTCTCTCTCTCTCTCTCTCTCTCTCTCTCTCTCTCTGTCTCTCTGTCTCTGTCTCTGTCTCTGTCTCTGTCTCTCTCTCTCTCTGTCTCTCTCTCTCTGTTTAAATCACTGGACAGCTCAGTAACAAAAGAAAACTGGCTTCCCTCATCACTCTTTTCTTGTGAAATAGTCATCCTTCATTGTCACATCTGTTTTCAGTCAATATTGTACATATTACTGTTTTTAGTGCCCCGATGACGCATAAGTGACACATTCGCTGTAAAATAATGCTAATGTTAAACATCCTGGGTTCCTGGAATGGTACTTACCCTTACATGTTGAGCTAGATGTTGGTATATCTGCTAGATAGAGGATCTGCTCCCAGCCACACATGAACTGCCTTTCCACCCCAATAACTCTTGCTCGCTTCTCGTTTGGTGGAACACCACTTTCCCGGAGGACCCAAATGAAGCCTATTCCTGGACCTTTAAATGGAGATGATCCATTGAGCATGTCTGTTAGTCAAGGGTTAGGCTCAATCTGTGTCCAGAAAACCACCATATATGCAGTCCCACTCGCCATTCAATCACCTGTCCACCATGCATATAGATAGAATAAGACCTAATAGAATGGTAGTACTGTCTTTCTATGGTCATACACTACTTCCTGCTGTTCCTGTGGGAATGCTTCAGGGTGTCTCTTGTATGTTTTGGCTCATCCTCTTTCCATAGACCTCACACTTTGTCCAGCACCGGCGTCTCCTCCTCTAAGTCCATGCGGACAGTTGGCAGCGTGGGTGTGGTGGAAGCACCAGAAGAGGTGATCCCCAAGCAGTTTGCATCCGTCCCCTTCCAGTACCGACGCATGAAAGCTGAGTGGAAGAGCAACGTGTACCTGGCGCGCTCCCGCATTCAGGTGGGCACCTCTGTCACTCTGTGCTAGGGCTACATGCAGTCTCTACACAGGCACTGATGCAGATTCAGTATATTTGTCTAACTTATTCAGGCATTGGAATATCTCAATCAATTTTGCTTGATGCACATTGATTGAATTCAATGGTTGCTTTTGTGGAAAGTACAAGTTACCTGTTGGGTTATGAGGGGATGACTGACATGGCATCATTTCATATCATTCATAGTGGTCGTTTGCTTTCAGATTCATTTAGTTCAGTGTTTGAGGTGTTGATCCTCACTGTGTCTGTTCTGGCAGGGGTTGGGTCTGTATGCTGCCAGGGACATTGAGTCCCACACCATGGTGATTGAGTACATTGGTACCCTGATTCGCAACGAGGTCGCCAACCGGATGGAGAAGATGTATGAATCCCAGGTGAGTTCAGAAACAGTCATTGCCAAATGTTTCCCACAAGACTAAATATCATCCCCCTTCATATCTGGCCTCTTAAAAACATCTACATGACAGCAAAAGAGAAGAATGGCAATTTTGTATCTTCCATGTTATTCTCTTGCTGTGGTGCAGAACCGTGGAGTCTACATGTTCCGCCTGGACAGTGACCATGTTGTCGATGCCACCATCACTGGCGGACCAGCAAGGTAAGAGTTTCCTACGTTCAGAATACATCATTTGACTACTTGTGTCTTGTCGCTAGCATGTAGGAAAGACATTTACCTTTGGCATCATCCTCAGATACATCAACCACTCCTGCGCCCCCAACTGCATCGCCGAGACCGTGAGCTTGGAGAGAGGCGACAAGATCGTCATCAGCGCCTGCCGCAATATCCAGAGAGGAGAGGAGGTAAGATATCCTCCTTTCATTAGCAATATGCTTCATTATTGGAAGTAGAGACTGGAGACATAGACATATTGCACTGTATCTAGTGGCTACCTCAGCCATGTAACGTCAGCTAATGTTTAAGAATGGTCTCATCATATCAAGCATGCATAGAATTGTGCATCATTATCGCAAGTTTGTCATTGAAGTAAAGCACATGAAGTTTTGACCTAGTAAACTCCATATTCATAGGGCCATGTTGAACTGCTTTCTCTCTCTCTCTCTTAGCTGTGCTACGACTACAAATTTGACTTGGAAGACGACCAGCACAAGATCCCTTGTCACTGTTGTGCGGTTAACTGCCGGAAATGGATGAACTAGAAGAGGGACAGTTGGGGCAAAATACAGGCTACGACACTTTCAAATTATGGCGCACACACACATTCCTTGTTATAGGCTCGTTGGTTCATCAGCTGGAAAACGTTGTATTACTTAAACAAAGACAACTTATCAGGGCAAGACACTGACCGCAGAACTGTTAGAGAAGACTAAAGAGGGAAGGGGAATCGCAGGCACAAAACAATTATTTTTATGAGGCTGAGAGCCGATTCTTTCACTTGGCAAAATAGAGTGGAGATGGATCTTTGTTAATATAAAGTGTGAGAATAGGGTAGTGGGTAAACGGATTAGGGGATGGGGAGGATGTTTTGGGTCTGGGGTAGAATTCACCAGTTGACCAGGAGAGTTTTGTGCTGGCCACCGCCTTATTTAGTTATTGAGAGGCAGGTCCTCTGGATTATGAAATATATACATATAGTTACAGAAATGTAGACACCACTGAACAAGGAATGTACAGAGAAGACTTCCTTAGGGACAAAGCTAAGGGAATATTAACTTGCACTAAAACAAAACAAATTTAGTCAAATACTTGATTCCATGAGTCAGTTTGTTTTTCCTTTTGTTTAATGTAAAATACGAGAATTTTTGTATTTATTATCGAATCACCGGCAAACTGCTGCCCAGGTTTTCAGTCTGATCAGAACGTGTTACATTATACAAAGTGTAAATAGTCAAAGACAATTAAGTAAACAATCGACCAAATGCTACCATAACTTCATCATGGCTGTTTGGGTGATTTTTATTTTTTTGTTGACAAAAGTATTTAAGAAGGATGTCATAATATCATTCTGAGAGTTTATGTGCTGTATAAAACTGTACAGAATGTGTAAAAAAAAATCCAGAGTATTTTTGTTGTATTTAGAATGAAGTTGCGTTGTCAAATTCTGACCACTTGAAGAATACGCTTTCCGTTTCTTTCATTTTCCTTAGGACAATTTCTGTTTGCATTGACACGCGCAATCAAAGAATTGCAGAGAGCACCAATCACATCGAGACAACTGAAATCCTAACCCTAGTTAATCAGATGTGAATGTAGAATTAGAGAGAACTGTGAATTTAAGGTTGGAGACCACCCATTTCATCAGTTAGCTTCTTTAACTGTTTGTGTACAGCAGTCTCTGAGATTCACCTCATGCAGATAATTCTGGGGGAAAATGCCTTTTACTTTTACTACTAGTTGCAGGAGACTCAATTATGCTTTTCACATAAAATGATTTTTGTGTTTTGTTTACAATTCTTTGTAAGAAACATCCTGTTTAGTGCTGGCTAGTTGAGAAAAAAATATGCTATGATGTTTTGGATTTCTTTTGACTCGATCACAAAAATCAGAATCTGGTACTTGCATTTTGCTGACCAGTTTGAAATTAAGTTTTCATTTTTGTGCACAACTTAAGTGGACTGTACAAAAGTTGGTATATTCAGTCTCGTTGTAATAAACAGTACATGGCATGATGTCTTTTTTAACTTTCAGAAGAATCAATTGTATATAATTTTCCATTATGGTTAATGAAATTTGTTTCTTGGATATTTTCTCCTCTTGTACAATATTCAGACCTCTTTAATAGTGTCTCTTTTCTTTGTCCTGTATAATGTCTAAAAAGCCTTTTTGAAGTATAGAGTGTGATGGGTTTTGGAGTTTGGAGTCAGATTTAGGATCATTTACAAAAAATAAAATATTTTACATCTTAAATTTGCAATGTCCTTTATCACAAATCTGTGCTACTTTTCTCTGTGGGGGTAAATGGACCACATTTTAATAAGCGTCTGCTAAGAAATAATTTGAATCATTGCAAATTAGTCAAGGGATGTTCATACTTAACTTAAACATTTCGTTGGTTGCCTCATTGCAAAAGAGAATAACTAATACAAAACTGCACAGCATACATAAGAAATTACATTTGGATAAGGGAAAAAACTAAAATCCTTGTCAGATCTTGTTCAACCATCATAGCTCACTAGTGCAGAACAGACAGTGAGTATGGATGATTTTGCTAGTATTGTGGGCATGACCCAAGACCGCTACATACTGTAGGATATTCCAAGACTATCCCTGTATTGCGCATTTCCATTTACCCTATTCAACATGATTTCCGTAGACTGCACACAATATCCATCACTTGGTCAATATACCTGATGTAGTACGAAGTAGAGATAACACAGTGTAGCCTATATTAAAGAAGTTGCCTTGCACATTTCAAGGGTATGAAAAACACATAACTTCACCAACAAACTCCAGTGATCAAAATATTTGTACAACAGAAAAAGATACTCCCAAATAAAAGTTTCAACTAAATAACATGCAGTACTGTATGTCATAGCAATTAATATCAGATTGTAATAAGTACAGAATAAAATACAATTTAACTCTAAAACCAGTGTCCTAAACCAGCGTCCATTGTTCTTAGTAAACGCTTGTTTGAGACTTATACAAGATTAAATGTTTCTCAGAATTGTCTAATGCAAGAGTGCTGTGCAAATTTGATTAAATTAATTAGAACATGATTGTAAAAAATATCTAAAACATAGGACAAGGAATAATTGTTGTTAGGGAAAGAAATGGAATACTCATTTTCAAGCGGGGAAGTCAGGCAAATGAATGACTACAGTACATATAGCGTACCCACTAAGAGCTCCATACTTTGTGCACTTCAGGCCGGAACCAGTTCTGAAGACAAAAACAGCATTCGTTCTCCAAGTCTTCAAGAACACAGTCCGTATAATTAGTTCCATCCCTCTCTTGTTTAGTCGTAGCAGCATGCAGTACTCCCCCATCCGGTCAGTCAGTGTCTGGTATGTAACTAGTCGTGGCATATCAACATCAGCCCTCCAACTGCCACTGCTGGGACTGGGAGCCGTTGCAGATCGCCATGGCAACATATCCCTTGGGGCTGACTGGGTCGACCACTGCCAGGCATTGGCCCACTGAGACTTGATACAGCCGGTTGCTTTTCTGGAGAGGGTTGGAGGAAGACAGGGCCATGTGTTACATAAACTGCCTTCAGAAAGTACACTATATATAGAAAAGTATGTGGACACTCTTTCAAATTAGTGGATTCAGCTATTTCAGCTATACCCATTGCTGACAGGTGTATAAAATCGAGCACACAGCCATGCAATCTCCATAGACAAACATTGGCAGTAGAATGGCCCGTACTGAAGAGCTCTGACTTTCAACGTGGCACCGTCATACTGTAGGATGCCACCTTTCCAACAAGTCAGTTCGTCAAATTTCTGCCTTGCTAGAGCTGCTCCGGTCAACTGTAAGTGCTGTTATTGTGAAGTGGAAACCTCTATGAGCAACAATGGCTCAGCCGCGAAGTGGTAGGCCACACAAGCTCACAGAACGGTAAAAATTGTCTGTCCTCAGTTGCAACACTCACTACCAAGTTCTAAACTGCCTCTGGAAGCAACGTCTGCACAATAACTGTTTATCTAGAGCTTCATGAAATGGGTTTCCATGGCCGAGCAGCCGCACACAAGCCTAAGCTCACCATGCGCAATGCCAAGCATCGGCTGGAGTGGTGTAAAGCTCGCCGCCATTGGACTCTGGAGAAATGGAAACGCGTTCTCTGGAGTGATGAATCACGCTTCACCATCTGGCAGTCCGACAGACAAATCTGGGTTTGGCGGATGCCAGGAGAACGCTACCTGCCCGAATGCATAGTGCCAACTGTAAAGTTTGGTGGAGGAGGAATAATGGTGTGGGGCTGTTTTTAATGGTTCCGGCTAGGCCCCTAAGTTCCAGTGAAGGGAGATCTTAACGCTACAGCATACAATTACATTCTAGACGATTCTGTGCTTCCAACTTTGTGGCAACAGTTTGGGGAAGGCCCTTTCCTGTTTCAGCATGACAATACCCCCGTGCACAAAGCAAGGTCCATACAGAAATGGTTGTCGAGATTGGTGTGGAAGAACTTGACTGGCCAGCACAGAGCCCTGTCCCCATCAAACACCTTTGGGATGAATTGGAATGCCGACTGCGAGACAGGCCTAATCGCCCAACATCAGTGCCCAACCTCACTAATGATCTTGTGGCTGAATGGAAGCAAGTCCCCGCAGCAATGTTCCAACATCTAGTGGAAAGCCTTCCCAGAAGAGTGGAGGCTGTTATAGCCGCAAAGGGGGGACCAACTCCATATTAATGCCCATGATTTTGGAATGAGCTGTTCGATGAGCAGGTGTCCACATACTTTTGGTAGTGTAGTCACACCCCTTGACTTTTTCCACATTTTGTGTTACAAGGTGGGATTACAATAGATTTGTCATTTTTTGTCAACGATCTACACAAAATACTCATGTCAAAGTGGAAGAAAAATGTTAACATTTGTAAAAAATAGAACGATATATTAAAAAAACGATATCTTACATAAGTATTCAACCCCGAGTCAATACATGTTAGAATCACCTTTGGCAGCAATTACAGCTGAGTCTTTCTGGGTAAGTCTAAACGCTTTGCACACCTGGATTGTATTTGCACATTATTTTAAAAAATCTTCAAGCTCTGTCAAATTGGTTGTTGATCATTGCTAGACAGCCATTTTAAGTCATAACTGTAACTAGGCCACTCAGGAACATTCAATGTCGTCTTGGTAAGCAACTCCAGTGTATATTTGGCCTTGTGTTTTAGGTTATGGTCCTGCTGAAAGGTGAATTTGTCTCCCAGTGGCTGTTGGAAAGCAGACTGACCCAGTTTTTGCTCTAGGACTTTGCCCGTGCTTAGGTCTATTCTGTTTATTTTTGTCCTAAAAAAAACTCCCAGTCCTTGCCGATGACAAGCATACCCATAACATGATGCAGCCATCACCATGCTTGAAAATATGAAGAGTGGTATTCAGTGATGTGTTGTTGGATTTGCTGCAAACATAATGCTTTTTATTCAGGACATAAAGTTAATAACTTCACCATGCTCAAAGGGATATTCAATGTCTGCTTTATTTAAAAATTTTTACCCACCAATAGGTGCCCTTCTTTGCGAGGCATTGCAAAACCTCCCTGGTCTTTGTGGTTGAAACTGTGTTTGAAATTCACTGCTCAACTGAGGGAACTTACAGATAATTGTATGTGTGCGCTACAGAGATGAGGTAGTCATTCAAAAATCATGTTAAACACTTATTGCACAGTTAGTCCACTTAACTTATTATATGTGACTTTACTCCTTCACTTATTTAGGCTTGCCATGACAAAGGGGTTGGATACTTACTGACCGACATTTCAGCTTTTCATTTTTAATTAATTTGTACAAACATAATTCCACTTTGACATTATGGGGTTTTGTGTGTAGGCCAGTGAGCAAAAAAAAAATCGACATTTAATTGATTTTAAATTCAGGCTCTAACGACCAAAGGTCAAAGGGTGTGAATACTTTCTGAAGGCACTGTATAGAATGGAGGGAGAGGATTGGAGACTTCACGTACATCATCTACTGCTTTTTGGGGAGTAGTCACTGACACCAACACGGCATAACCACTTAATAAAGGAGGCTAGTGCAGTAGCCCTGAGCCTACTGGCGGTGGTCGAAATAGAAGTGGTTCCATCTAGTCATCACCATCATGATGCCCCGTGGTACCAGCGGTACACGCCAGTATAAATGCCACAGTAATACTGAACTGTATTAGTCATATCAGTACTGGTCTGATGATGGTAACAGTTGCTATAGTCCTATCTGCCTCTATAGATGGGTTAGCCGACAACGTCACCAAAACAATGCTTCAGTGGGACATACGTCTGTTGTTGTGATTCTGGATGGCCAGATAGCTGAGCAAACAATGACCAAGAAGCTGCCATAGTGGGGAATCCTAGGTTGGCTCGTTTGATCTTGTTCTTGATACCATGTTCCTTGTTTTTGACTGATGTCACGTCTATGGCTAATATGGCTAACCAACCAAACTGGTAAAACAATGGTATTTGAGAGACAAACAAGTGCTCATTCTGCACTGTACAGTGGAAAAAAAGTATTTAGAGCACCATGTGAGTCTCCCCTTAAAAGCTGAGAGGGCCTGTATTTTCATCAAGTAGTCAGACAACAACAAATCCGTCACATTGTAGGATTTTCATGAATTATTGCAATATGGTGGAAAAAATATTGGTCATAACAAAGTTTCATCTTTTTTATATACCCTTTGTTGGCAATGACATAGGTCAAACGTTTTCTGTAAGTCTTCACAAGGTTTTCACACACTTTTGCTGGTATTTTGGCCCATTCCTCCATGCAGATCTCCTCTAGAGCAGTGATGTTTTGGGGCTGTCGCTGGGCAACACGGACTTTCAACTCCCTCCAAAGATTTTCTATGGGGTTGAGATCTGGAGACTGGCTAGGCCACTCCAGGACCTTGAAATGCTTCTTACGAAGCCACTCCTTCGTTGCCCGGGCGGTGTATTTGGGATCATTGTCATGCTGAAAGACCCAGCCACGTTTCATCTTCAATGCCCTTGCTGATGGAAGGAGGTTTTCACTCAAAATCTCACGATACATGGCCCCATTCATTCTTTCCTTTACACGGATCAGTCGTCCTGGTCCCTTTGCAGAAAAACAGCCCCAAAGCATGATGTTTCCACCCCCATGCTTCACGGTAGGTATGGTGTTCTTTGGATGCAACTCGGGATTCTTTGTCTTCCAAACACGACAAGTTGAGTTTTTACCAAAAAGTTATATTTTGGTTTCATCTGACCATATGACATTCTCCCAATCCTCTTCTGGATCATCCAAATGCACTCTAGCAAACTTCAGACGGGCCTGGACATGTACTGGCTTAAGCAGGGGGACACGTCTGGCACTGCAGGATTTGAGTCCCTGGCGGCGTAGTGTGTTACTGATGGTAGGCTTTGTTACTTTGGTCCCAGCTCTCTGCAGGTCATTCACTAGGTCCCCCCGTGTGGTTCTGGGATTTTTGCTCACCGTTCTTGTGATCATTTTGACCCCACAGGGTGAGATCTTGCGTGGAGCCCCAGATCGAGGGAGATTATCAGTGGTCTTTATGTCTTCCATTTCCTAATAATTGCTCCCACAGTTGATTTCTTCAAACCAAGCTGCTTACCTATTGCAGATTCAGTCTTCCCAGCCTGGTGCAGGTCTACAATTGTGTTTCTGGTGTCCTTTGACAGCTCTTTGGGCTTGGCCATAGTGGAGTTTGGAGTGTGACTGTTTGAGGTTGTGGACAGGTGTCTTTTATACTGATAACAAGTTCAAACAGGTGCCATTAATACAGGTAACGAGTGGAGGACAGAGGAGCCTCTTAAAGAAGTTGTTACAGGTCTGTGAGAGCCAGAAATCTTGCTTGTTTGTAGGTGACCAAATACTTATTTTCCACCATAATTTGCAAATAAATTCATTAAAAATCCTACAATGTGATTTTCTGGATTTTGTTTTCTCATTTTGTCTGTCATAGTTGACGTGTACCTATGATGAAAATTACAGGCCTCTCTCATCTTTTTAAGTGGGAGAACTTGCACAATTGGTGGCTGGCTAAATACTTTTTTCCCCCAATGTATTTATGTTTTCAATAAACATTGGAGACTACATATAGTTTACATGTTGTCAACAATCTAAGCCAACCCTGTCTGTTTTCCCCAATAGTTGCAAATGTGTTGGTGTTGTTGCTAAACAACCAACCAGTCTATTATATACAGATATGGGGCTGATTTGTGATTCAGCAACAGTGTGGGGGCTGAGTGGGGGGGTCTAGCTAACTCACCCCCAGGGTCCACTGTTGGGAGCCCCCTGAGCCGTGACACTTCATGAGGCGGGGTGGGTCAGACGAGCGGATCTCGGACATGTCCAGACACAGCAGGCCGGCCAGGATCAACTCATGCTCCTCATCATAGGCCCACTCCTGGGAGGGGAGGAGGAAGAGGGAGGGAGAGAAAGAAAGAAAGAAGTTCAGCATATATATATATACACACACACACAGTTGAAGTCGGAAGTGTACATACACTTAGGTTGGAGTCATTAAAACTCGTTTTTTCAACCACTCCACAAATTTCTTGTTAACAAACTATAGTTTTGGCAAGTCGGTTAGGACATCTACTTTGTGCATGACACAAGTAATTTTTCCAACAATTGTTTACAGACAGATTATTTCACTTATAATTCACTGTATCACAATTCCAATGGGTCAGAAGTTTACATACACTAAGTTGACTGTGCCTTTAAACAGCTTGGAAAATTCCAGAAAATGATGTCATGGCTTTAGAAGCTTCTGATAGGCTAATTGACATCATTTGAGTCAATTGGAGGTGTACCTGTGGATGTATTTCAAGGCCTACCTTCAAACTCCGTGCCTCTTTGCTTGACATCATGGGAAAATCAAAATAAATCAGCCAAAACCTCAGAAAAGAAATTGTAGACCTCCACAAGTCTGGTTCATCCTTGGGAGCAATTTCCAAATGCCTGAAGGTACCACGTTCATCTGTACAAACAATAGTACGCAAGTATAAACACCATGGGACCACACAGCCGTCATACCGCTCAGGAAGGAGACGCGTTCTGTCTCCTAGAGATGAACGTACTTTGGTGTGAAAAGTGCAAATCAATCCCAGAACAAAAGCAAAGGACCTTTGTGAAGATGCTGGAGGAAACAGGTACAAAAGTATCTATATCCACAGTAAAACGAGTCCTATATCGACATAACCTGAAAGGCCGCTCAGCAAGGAAAAAGCCACTGCTCCAAAACCGCCATAAAAAAGCCAGACTACGGTTTGCAACTGCACATGGGGACAAAGATTGTACTTTTTGGAGAAATGTCCTCTGGTCTGATGAAACAAAAATAGAACTGTTTGGCCATAATGACCATCGTTATGTTTGGAGGAAAAAGGGGGTCACTTGCAAGCCGAAGAACACCATCCCAACCGTGAAGCACGAGGGTGGCAGCATCATGCTGTGTGGGTGCTTTGCTGCAGGAGGGACTGGTGCACTTCACAAAATAGATGGCATCATGAGGAAGGAAAATTATGTGGATATATTGAATCAACATCTCAAGACATCAGTCAGGAAGTTAAAGCTTGGTCGCAAATGGGTCTTCCTAATGGACAATGACCCCAAGCATACTTCCAAAGTTGTGCCAAAATGGCTTAAGGACAACAAAGTCAAGGTATTGGAGTGGCCATCACAAAGCCCTGACCTCAATCCTATAGAACATTTGTGGGCAGAACTGAAAAAGCGTGTGTGAGCAAGGAGGCCTACAAACCTGACTCAGTTACACCAGCTCTGTCAGGAGGAATGGGCCAAAATTCACCCAACTTATTGTGGGAAGCTTGTGGAAGGCTACCCGAAACGTTTGACCCAAGTTAAACAATTTAAAGGCAATGCTACCAAATACTATTTGAGTGTATGTAAACTTCTGACCCACTGGGAATGTGATGAAAGAAATAAAAGCTGAAATAAATCATTCTCTATACTATTATTCTGACATTTCACATTCTTAAAATAAAGTGGTGATCCTAAGACAGGGAATTTTTACTAGGATTAAATGTCAGGAATTGTGAAAAACTGAGTTTAAATGTATTTGGCTAAGGTGTATGTAAACTTCCGACTTCAACTGTATAAGGAAAACAGTCACGTGGTGCAGACCTGAGTGAGGAATGTAAATTAATTGAAAAATGCCTTTTTTCCATTTCCAATACACTGTATTGGGAATTTTCAATTAACATTGTATTTCATAATTCATTCTTGAATAAACCAGAATTGAAACTTTACCTACTCCCAATATTTGACAAAAAAAATTGAATTCCCAATAGAATATTTCAAGTGTTACCATTTCACGCCTCACTTGTTAGCAGACAACTTTACAAACAACCGTTCACAACGGAAGTTGTTGACCTCATCGTGTAGAACTCAGAGTGCTGCAGAAAGGGAAGGAGCATATAGGTCGAGAAAAAGAGAGTGGGAGAATGCGTGTGGCAGAACTGCAGTAGCTTCAGCCTCTGCTGAACTTCTACCCCACACACACACACACACAGTGACTCACTCTGCACCATTTTTACACACACAGGAAAGTGGAAGAGCTCACCTAATGGAGCTGTCTTTTTTTAGTTGAGGCCTGAGAAGAAAGAAGCTCTTCCAGTGAGTGTGACCCTGAAAGAGCCTGGAGTGAGAGGATGTACTGGTACAGTTCATGTACATCCAGGTTGAGATACTGCACTTTCCCCGTGTGGCCAGGAAACCCTCTTACAAAACAGTGATTGTGGCCAGAAACAACGGTTGAAATAAGGTAATGAAAGCATAGAAATATTTGGAGATAGGAGGTTGAAATAGAACTCATTTCAGATTAAAGCACTAACCCTTAACCATTGTCCAAGTCGCCGACTAACAGAAGCGTCAAAAAGAGGTCAGACTCTTGTAATGGTTCTATTATCACTGTAGAAGGTCAGTCATAGGCTGGCAACATTAATAATGACTCATGATTGCCAGTGTCACGTAGGAGACCATATGAAGCAGAGTCATACACACAACCTATTTCTCTAGCTAGGATGTTTCCCCAACCCAGATACCCAGATGGAGAATCTCCATGGAACTTGCTTTTAAGTACAGGAATAGGCTTCATCTGGATCCGGGGAACTAGCCCTTAACCCCCTAAGGTTGATGTCCATGCTGGAAATCTATTAGCATAATCAAAACATCCGTCAGTTTAAGCTAAAGATATCCGGTTTTTTTTTTTGCATTGGATGCGTCTCAATCCGCCGCATCCGCCTATGGAACACTTCTGCATCTGCGGTGAAAAGTGACAGAGCTAGAGCGACGTTTGTCAGACATTTAGACGTACCGAAAGTCGGTCTTCTAACGAAATCGTCTGTAGTGTCCGAACGGTTTGGCCTACAAATATAGACCCCTCTATGGAAGATTCGAAGTTCTCCGTTTCTCTACGACCCCACAAGCGTCTTGGATAGTTGAGTCGCTACAAGCGATTGCCATTTATGTAGCGTCCGAACAGTTTGGACACACTAAGATGTGAAAGGGAGACTCTCACAAACAGTAAGTTCGGTTGTTTTGCCGGACGCCACATTTCCTGATCTTCTAATCTCTCAGATATAGCGGACACCAAACAAACTTCCTTTGATTTGGGGGGGCTGTGTTCATATAGTGAACGGTATCAGCGTATGGCTATAGCCAACTTACGCAAATAAATGTTATCTAGTAATTTTTTAATTATTTTGGAACTCAAGAGTCAAATTCTAAATCAATAGCAAATAATCCTGGTGACCACCTTACAATCATATAGCTTAGTAGAACCCCCCCAGACTGCTTTCTTTTCCCACCTTGCTTTTAGAATGCTGAGCCGTGCTTGAAAGTGCAATGTGAAAAGACAATATCCTGGCACAGACGTCCAAGACAGAGGTGAGTTGGTGGGGGGTAATATGTTAGTTAGTGTACCTGTTCTGGGTTGTGAGTATCACAGGACCTCAGCACCACGGCACCCCCCTTCTGGGTGGACCTCCCCTGGGCCACCAGACACCTGTCAGCCTGCAGGTTCCGCAACTACAGAGAGAGAAAAGGAGAAGTGAGCAGTCTAAGGTGAAGGTGAAGACACTGTTGCGTTCCAGGTCATCTTTATTGCAACCTGACAGCGCATCTGAGAACATTGCTATGTTATATTAATGTGGTTCTGGCTTCAGGCATTGTGAGATCTGATAATATGCACTGTGCGACTACAAAACTATATGAACTGGAACACGCCCATAAACTCAAAGATACATGGATAAAAACCAACTGAAGTTATGTCCAGACTCCAGACTATGCCACTGGAATGTACAATAGACCAACACCCACTCCCCTGAATCTACATGACAATAATATTTTCAATCTATTGAGGGACCTTACACCAAATGCCTCCTTGCTAAATCTGCCTGTTTCCATAACCTTATTGATATCTTCAGAAAAACAGGTATGTTAAAGCTGGAATACTTAATGGTGAAACGTTTCCTTTGTCTGTCCCCCCCCCCCCCCCGATGCACGACGCTCCACCAGCGCTCCCTACCTCTGCTTTGTCAACAAAGCAAAACCAATAACAATGGCTGTGGGGCGGACAGTGGTAACGTTTCCCCCTACTGTGGATTCCATCTTTAAGAATTCACTATGAAGTTTCCTTCCAGACTAACTAGAATATGAATGTCCTCTCAGGGAGACTGGTGTAGCAGAGCTGGCGGTGGTTTATCAATATGAAATACGTAGTGCATTCGGAAAGTATTCAGACCCCTTCACTTTTTCCACATTTTGTTAAGTTACAGCCTTATTCTAAAAGTGATTACATAGTTTTTTCCCCCTCATCAATCTACACACAATACCCCATAATGACAAAGCAAACACAGGTTAACATTTTTGCTAATTTATAAAAAATTAACTGAAATATAACATTTACATAAGTATTCAGACCCTTTACTCAGTACTTTGTTGAAGCACCTTTGGCATCGATTACAGCCTCGAGTCTTCCTGGGTATGACGCTACAAGCTTGGCACACCTGTATTTGGGGTGTTTCTCCCATTCTTCTCTGCAGATCCTCTCAAGCTCTGTCAGGTTGGATGGGGAGCGTCACTGCACAGCTATTTTCAGGTCTCCCCAGAGATGTTCATTCGGGTTCAAGTCTGGGCTCTGGCTGGGCCACTCAAGGACATTCAGACTTGTCCCGAAGCCACTCCTGCGTTGTCTTGGCTGTGTGCTTAGGGTCGTTGTCCTGTTGGAAGGTTAACCTTCGCCCCAGTCTGAGGTCTTGAGCGCTCTGGAGCAGGTTTTCATCAAGGATCGCTCTGTACTTCGCTCCGTTCATCTTTCCCTCAATCCTGACTAGTCCCTGCCGCTGAAAAATATCCCCACAGCATGATGCTGCCACCACCATGCACAGTGGCAAAGAGGCATGTTTGTACATTATGTGCTCAGTAGGTCTATATCCTAGATGTATTGCTTTCAAAGAAAACCAATGTTTTTTATTCTTAATACATTTGCAAAAAAATCTAAACACCTGTTTTCGCTTTGTCAGTATGGGGTATTGTGTGTAGATTGATGAGGAAAATATTTAATTTAATCCACTTTAGAATAAGGCTGTAACGTAACAAAATGTGGAAAAAGGGAAGGGGTCTGAATGCTTTCCGAATGCACTGTAACTTGTTTTCTATCAGTCTGTTTGAAGCGGGAGTTCTGAGCCTCTGTGAGTGGTATGTGTCTTTTCATCCTGGGGACTGGAGTTCCTTCATGACTTGCACAACACCAGGCTGCCCCCTGTTGAATGGATATGGCATTTTCTTCAATTTAATTAAATAAGAAAACAACTTAAAGGTGCAGTATGTAACATTGTATTGATCATTTTTGCTTTCCCTTGGCTTTTGAAGAATGTTCAGGTATTTCTGCGTTGCAATCTTAGAACTACATTCAAACCTTATCATATTAACCCTAAAGAAACGTGACTGGGAACATGGAATATTGTTACACTGTTTACAACTTCTGAGGACCACTAGTCCATCAGGAGACATCTACTGTTTGTATACAGAGAAGGTGCTTCACTGATAGTAAACAAGTAACTTTATTTAATTTATGACTATAAATATGTCATAGAGGGCTATTTGCATGTGAATGATGTACATAATTACACCTTAAAAACGAAGAGATTGAGAACATACATTCCTTGAGGTTTATTTTTTGTTATTGCCTCTAGATGGCAGGGGTTGACCACCGACAACACACAGCTTTAACAAAGTAACCATGTTAAATTTATGGCAGACAGTTTTCATGGTTACCAGCTACTAAAGACAAAACCAGGGGGCAGTTAAACAGTGATGTATCGATGACCGAAGACCAATTGGCCTCTTATTGTTACACAAAATTGCATGTTCAGTGCTGAAGTTTGAACAGTGTTATTCTGAGACACAACAGTGTACAACATACAATAATTTTTCTATGGGGTACAGTAGCACAACTCTAGCCTTGTTTCCAGATCAGGTTGTGCTGTATAGCCAACTCCTATGGTTGATGCGACCATAGGAGTTGGCCATACAGCACAAACTGATCTGGGACCACTTTAGCATCTTACCCGGCCTCTCTGCAGCACCTTTGGTCGGCGGAGGCCCTTGTTGACGAACACAGGCTGCTGGGGCTTGTTGTGGGGCGAGGCAACCTGCATCTCGGGGTAGATGGTGTCCAGGTACCACTTGAAAGAGTGACACTGCAGCCGTTGGCGCACCGCCTGCCGCTCGCTGATGTCGCCGTAGGCACGTTCCCGGAGTTCCGGCCGCAGGTTTAAGTACTGCTCCTGATTGGACGAGACACAAGACAGGAAATAGGTGAGATTGATGACATATAATCAGTTTATTGCTATTGAAACTTTCAATGCCAGTCCACACCCTTTAATAAATGTAAAATAGCTGTATCTCTGTTGTCTGTAAAAGTGCATGGTTTACAGGGCAGATCAGGTTCTAAAGTCAATTTGTAAACAAACATTTTATCAGAAAAACAGAATAAAGCTGAGACAAACTACTGTAGAGAGTGATTCAGAAATATTTATAGTACTGAACTGGAATCTCGACAAGTCAACAGTACTCCTAGTTGTTCCACCCTCTCTTTGGTCATGAAAAAAGCTTGTATTTTCTGGGTGGTAAGACTCAGAATAAGTATTTCAGAGGTAAGATTGAAAACTCTTAGGTCTATTTCGATTGGCCGATACAATCAAGACGTTTATCTTATTCCCTTTATTGAGAACCTGTTTAATATATCTTGATTTAGGCCGGCTGTTTCCGTGGAAACAAAACCTGTCCCAGTCTCTGATTAGTGTGGTGATGGAGAAGTCAGAACTGGCCAACCCAAACTTCATCTTAAAGGGAAAATCCACTCAAAAACGATCATTGCATTTTGCATCATCATGATGATGTGGCCGGTGACACTTTGCTTCTTGAAAGTCCAATATCTTGAAAACTTCACTGCTGACATGCAACAACAAAAAATAGGACTGTATCAACAGTGGACTAATGAAAAAAAATCCCCCAAAATAACCAGTCTGGAAGACTTAAACTGCTTGGAACATTGATACACTACTCTGTTGAATTAACAATTCAGAGTAAGGGAAGGCAATTTACGAATCACACTCTTAGTTCAATGTACAGTAAATAATTTAAAAGGGGAAGGAAGGAAAGAGCAAGGAAGAGAGACGAGACTAAGCAGCACAAACCTCGCCGGAAACAGTGGCGCTGTCTTGTGGATGCCTTATGTGCACCAAGAGTTCTAAGTAATAACGAATACATAAATAACTAATCATATCCAAGGCCTCTACTGTTTAGTTTGGAAACAAGAACTGTTCACACACCGAGGGGAATGATGAGAAAACAAATGCAGACTCACTTGTAGTGAGACATTGACGTGTGTGAATGGGAGCTCTCTCAGGAGAACCCAAACAACGCAATTGGCTTCCTTTCCAATTAGGTTGGCTATTTTCAGACCGTGGAAAGCAATTATAGCTCTTTGTAGCTTGGAAAGGAACAAACATCATTGTGCTAATAAAGACAGAGCTGAGAGTGATTAGAAGAAATGCTGATTTCATCGGATGTTTAGTTTTCTTATGGATTGCTTGCGGTCATAACAGGCGCCTCAGGAAAAGGTTGAATGTGAAAAGTGATCTCTTCAGATCTGGACCAGTTATGATCTAAAAAGGAAAAACTGATCCTAGATCAGCAATCCTACTCTGATACGCTGAATACGAGCCCAGTAGTTTTCAGTCTAGGTTCTTACGGGCCCCTGTGCGTGCTGGATTTCATACAAACACAGTTGAATGGATTTTAATTTCAGGCCCTGAACCAATGGAGAATGGGTGATTTTATAGACTGGATTTCAATGATGTGTAATTAGTGCTATCGCCCTCTGAGGTACCTTGTATTCATCCATCCATACGTGGGCCAATCGCAGGGAGTTGTGGGCCATGGTGTCCTGACCTCCGGGTGACCCGTAAGGCCGGCGTTTACGGAATATATGACCCACCCGCGAGCAGGGGATGATCAGGAGCTGGCCACCACACATCCAGATCTGATAAAGAGAAAGTCAGTATGAATATTTGACTTGTTGGTTAGAGTGCCAGGACACTTCAACAAGGCTATATTGTTTGTACGTTAAAAATTCCCTTTCACTAAATCCATGGGGGAGGGAGCAAGAAAGACTACAGACTATGTGGCCAAGTATACTACCATGAAGACCACTCAATCACTGGGTGAGCACACGTCGTTGCCACAACCCTGATGCTCCCCACTCTCCAAACTCATCCCCTTAACACCTCACCCTCTACACCTGAATAAAAAAGCCCGCTGTAGTTGTTCCAAGAAAGTTACGTTTTGGGAAACGCTAGGACATAGGACTTAATTCAATTAATAAGAGCAGTACAAGTCTGACCAAACATCAGCTCCATTCCCCATTGGTCGAGAGCCATTTGATTCATGTAATCTGACAATGTTCCACCTTCATAACATTCCCTTACTGAAGTCATATACTGGACTCTTTTCAAACAGGGTAACATTGCAAAACATGAGAAAGCAGCCATGCCAAGAATATTAAACAGGACTGGAAGAGAAATATCCAACTCTGATGTGGTAAAGGTAAGAGAACTAAAAATACTATTTGAGGCGAGAAAGGAATATTGATGTTGGATGGATTCATGTAGCAAGTCAATATGCAGTTGCTAGTCTGCGGAGATCCAACTCAACTGGACCAAAACGTAATGTTGAGAAATAAAATTGCCTTTGGCTGTCGGTTATGACATTTTATTTCACTGTGTATTTTTCTTAGGGGGAAAAGCTTGTTTAAGTTCACTGAGGCAAAGCATTAGAAGAAATGAGCCAAAATGTGGGTAAATAAACCGTGTCTTGAGCTTATAGTGAGTGGTTGACATGACATAGCTCATTTGACGAGGTGCGTGCGTGTGCATTTGGCACCCATCCTAAAATGGAAATTACATCTTTCAACTGAAAGTCTGGGTGTTCTATGTTTACATTTTAGTCATTTAGCAGACGCTCTTATCCAGAGCGACTTACAGGAGCAATTAGGGTTAAGTGCCTTACTGAAAGGCATATACTTTTAACCTAGTCGGCTAGCGATTGAACCAGCAACCAACGCTCTTAACCGCTAGGCTACCTGTCGCCCTATGTGTTGCTTTGGGAGCATCTGCACCCTTCCTAAGAATAACATGTAGCAGTAATGTAGTGAGTGTGATACAGTGAGTGGTAGTGATGGTATGTGGCCGTTTTATTTACCCGGAAGGAGATCTCGAGGTTCTCACCACCCCAGATGTCCATGCCGCTGTCATATTGGCCCAGCTCGTTAAAGTACTTCCTGTCCATGGCAAACAGACCACCGGCCATGGTGGGAGACCTAGGGGAAGGAGAGAAAAGGTAGAATGTGAGTCTGTATTCTAGTTACTACAGTATCCTTTGAAGTAGCACTAGCATCGAGACACTAAGGCCGGGTTTACACAGGAAGCCCAATTCTGATCTTTTGCCCAATAATTGGCAAAAAATATATGATTGGTCAAAAGACCAACTATTGGCAAAAGATCTGATCTGATTGGTCAAAAGACCAGAATTGGGCTGCCTGTGTAGACACATCCTAAGATGTGAGAAAACATGCATCTGCATCTCCTAGTCCAGCTAAAAGATAGGCTGCAACCAGACAGATTGTGTCAGAAAATTACTGATTGAGCCAAAGGTTTTTCAATGGGAGTCAACTGTTGACGGACAATTGACAACAAATGATTGTCCTTCAAAAAACACACAATATGTCTGCCTTTGTGCATATGCAACTTGTCCGAAAATAGTTAACATGAATTGAACTTTTGACGATAAACAGACCGTGATGAATGCGTATCTGATTTCCTCTGTTTTCATGCGTCTCTGTGCGACCGTAGCCTTAGGCTTATATGCTTGTGAGAGAAACAGAGAGAAATTAAGAGGCAGCGTAAACAAATACAAAGGGGTGTCCGAGTAGCCCCCTTTAGGCTAAAGCCAGCCTATGCCATAGTAATGGATTTAAAGTACCCGGGCCACTTCAAAACGTGGATCGATTCAGTCCCTAGGACCAGGCGTGCTACTACGGCCACTAATTAGCTCTCACATGACTCCATACTCTACTCTACATCGGATGGCCTTTATTGATACAGTATCAGGTTCATGCACACTTGGAGGCCATTCAAATCCATGGGGGAAAATAAAAAAGCCAATCGAATTGACCTTTAAGGAGACATTTCCAGGACATAATAGCATAGGGCAGGCCAGCCTAAAAAAACATCATAAAAAATTAACTACAAATAGGCTGTACTGGTTTTACTGCACGTTTGGGTTTATTCCTTTCCACAGCTCAATTTAGTATTTGAGATTATTGGACATACAGTGCCTTGCAAAATTGTTCAGACCCCTTGGATCTATTCACATTTTATTGTTACAAATAGGGATTAAAATGGATTTGTCATTTTTGTCAACAATCTATACAAACAGGTTTGGCAGCCAAACAGAAACATCTATTGATTTGATATTTTGCAGTAATACAGAAAAATGTACAAAGGCTATAAATCTGTACCGATCATAACTAAGAAAACAAAGGTTCCCAAAAAGCCGCCCAAAGTTGTGGTAAATAGGAGCTATAAGAAATTTAACTGTGAACATTTTCAGGATGACTTAAATGCTTTGCCCTGGGAATTAGTCGACCTTGAAGACAACATACAGTGGGGAAAAAATGATTTAGTCAGCCACCAATTGTGCAAGTTCTCCCACTTAAAAAGATGAGAGAGGCCTGTAATTTTCATCATAGGTACACGTCAACTATGACAGACAAAATGAGAAAAAAAAATCCAGAAAATCACATTGTAGGATTTTTTATGAATTTATTTGCAAAGTATGGTGGAAAATAAGTATTTGGTCACCTACAAACAAGCAAGATTTCTGGCTCTCACAGACCTGTAACTTCTTCTTTAAGAGGCTCCTCTGTCCTCCACTCGTTACCTGTATTAATGGCACCTGTTTGAACTTGTTATCAGTATAAAAGACACCTGTCCACAACCTCAAACAGTCACACTCCAAACTCCACTATGGCCAAGACCAAAGAGCTGTCAAAGAACACCAGAAACAAAATTGTAGACCTGCACCAGGCTGGGAAGACTGAATCTGCAATAGGTAAGCAGCTTGGTTTGAAGAAATCAACTGTGGGAGCAATTATTAGGAAATGGAAGACATACAAGACCACTGATAATCTCCCTCGATCTGGGGCTCCACGCAAGATCTCACCCCGTGGGGTCAAAATGATCACAAGAACGGTGAGCAAAAATCCCAGAACCACACGGGGGAACCTAGTGAATGACCTGCAGAGAGCTGGGACCAAAGTAACAAAGCCTACCATCAGTAACACACTACGCCGCCAGGGACTAAAATCCCCCTGCTTAAGCCAGTACATGTCCAGGCCCGTCTGAAGTTTGCTAGAGTGCATTTGGATGATCCAGAAGAGGATTGGGAGAATGTCATATGGTCAGATGAAACCAAAATAGAACTTTTTGGTAAAAACTCAACTCGTCGTGTTTGGAGGACAAAGAATGCTGAGTTGCATCCAAAGAACACCATACCTACTGTGAAGCATGGGGGTGGAAACATCATGTTTTGGCGCTGTTTTTCTGCAAAGGGACCAGGACGACTGATCCGTGTAAAGGAAAGAATGAATGGGGCCATGTATCGTGAGATTTTGAGTGAAAACCTCCTTCCATCAGCAAGGGCATTGAAGATGAAACGTGGCTGGGTCTTTCAGCATGACAATGATCCCAAACACACCGCCCGGGCAACGAAGGAGTGGCTTCGTAAGAAGCATTTCAAGGTCCTGGAGTGGCCTAGCCAGTCTCCAGATCTCAACCCCATAGAAAATCTTTGGAGGGAGTTGAAAGTCTGTGTTGCCCAGCGACAGCCCCAAAACATCACTGCTCTAGAGGAGATCTGCATGGAGGATTGGGCCAAAATACCAGCAACAGTGTGTGAAAACCTTGTGAAGACTTACAGAAAACGTTTGACCTGTGTCATTGCCAACAAATGGTATATAAAAAAGTATTGAGAAACTTTTGTTATTGACCAAATACTTAGTTTCCACCATAATTTGCAAATAAATTCATTAAAAAACCTACAATGTGATTTTCTGGATATTTTTTTCTCATTTTGTCTGTCATAGTTGACGTGTACCTATGATGAAAATTACAGGCCTCTCTCATCTTTTTAAGTGGGAGAACTTGCACAATTGGTGGCTGACTAAATACTTTTTTCCCCCACTGTAGATCATGCAGTAGAATGTTTCACATAACTATTTACAAGGATGCTTGATCTCCATGCCCCAATCAAAAAGAAAACCAGTGAAGCCCAGCCCATCCCCATGGATAGACAATGAGCTACTAGGTTTTTAACTCAGCGAGATGAGCCAAAGACTCACGCTGTTAACTAAAAAACTGAATCTGATATAATGGTGTATAGAAAACTGCAGAACTATGCCGTGTAACTGAATCGTCAGAAAAAAATATATTTTTACAAAGACGCTTTCACTGACTGCAAAAACAATCCCAAATCAGTCTGGAATACTGTAAAAGGCCTCCTGGGCACATCCAGCACATCTAATCCATCTGGTGTGGAAGTAAAATGGGGAAATGAAAATGAAACATATTGACATTGCTAATCATTTTGTAGATTATTTTGAAAATAAGTCTGAGGCAGAATATGTCATCCTGTCAATGAAAGGAACATTGTTTATTCTCTTGACCAAATCATGGCATCAAAAGCCTGCAGTTTCACATTACCACAGATATCAATTGATGAAGTGCTCAAAGCATTAATGTGCTTAGCTGAGGACAAGTCACCTGGGCTCCATCTCATTGATAACAAACTATTTAGACTAGCAGCACCCTATATTGCAGCTCCAATTAGGCATATTTTTTACCTCTGATTACTCCAAGGAAAGTTTCCTAATGAATGGAAGCATGCAACAAAATTACCTTTTATGGTATCAAACAGTAGACCAATTCACCTACTGTTATCATTTATTATGATTTTGGAACCAATTGTCAGTAACCATATATGGGAGTATATAGAACAAAATACAATTATCACAGTCTACCAGCATGCATACCGTAAGGATCAATCGACTGCAACAGCTCTGGTTGATTTAACAGATCAATGTCTCAGGTCACGTGACCAAGGTGAGTGTGCTGCATCTTGATTTTAGTGCTGCTTTTGACCTTCCTGATCATGATATACTGTTGATGAAATTGTGTCACTATGGATTTGATAACACCTAGGGCTGTGGCGGTCATGAAATTTGGTAAGCTGGTGATTTGTCAAGCAAATAACTGCCGGTCTCACGGTAATTGACCGTTAATTAGTATAAACATGTTTAGCATCTCCTGGCTTCCACGCATAGCCACTGATCCAGACCATAGAAACATCTACATTTTAAAATGTCTAATAAATCCATGTAATATAGCCTACACCATCACAATAAATCCATTATTTATTTTAGACAGGTCTAAAGAAACATGATATGAAGAAAATGTAGTCTATTTCAGAAGAACAGAATAGCATACTCTTGAGTTGTCCTTATGTTAGGCCCTGATATGGCTATGCCATATGGCTGTGGGCTACACTAGTTCATTTAGCAGACAAGATTTGCTTAGAATTCCGTGGCATTATTTTCTATTATTTTATAGTATGAAGAATACAATTGAACATAGAAGGATATTTTCTCCAAATGATTTGAGGGAGTGCGCACCTGCGGCTATTCTGTGTTGAGCGGTTAACAAAGAAACAGGTCCTCCTGTGTGCTTAATTTAGAGTTATTCATGTAACTTTAGTCTTGATGTAAACGTTGGGCTATATGTTTAAATTTTAATACATTCTAAGGCTGCATGATAGGACTCTAATAATGATTTGAAAAACGTTGCAAGCTGCACACACTTCATCAGTCTCTTATTCACAATTTGACAAGCACATTTTTAGTCATTTAGCAGACGCTCTTATCCAGAGCGACTTACAGGAGCAATTAGGGTTAAGTGCCTTGCTCAAGGGCACATCGACAGATTTTTCACCTAGTCGGCTCGGGGATTAGAACCAGCGACCTTTCGGTTACTGGCACAACGCTCTTAACCACTAAGCTACCTGCCGCACTTGATAATATTCTCACCAGGCCTCGAATTTCCCGGCGGCATCCCCCTTGTGTGGCCGTAATGCCCCCTAAAAGTGGTCGTTGTGCCCTTGGGCTGAATATAATAGGCTAATTATAATTCCCTTCTCCCGGCTGCTGTGCTCCGAATCAACTCTCACTCACATGGCTCTCTCAGATGTAGCCAATG